CTCTTACCGACGTTGGAGCAATCGTGCTCCTCAATCCAATCTCTCTTTTTAACATAACGAAGTAGGAGAACCCCTGGTTGAAGCTCATCAACGGCTGATAGGTCAATCGATGGATCATCTTTGTATTCACAAAATTCTGCAGGGTCGTCTGTGACAAAACTTTGCGATAATCCAAAATTCCGCAAAGAGAAACGTCCCCCTGAAATTAAAAAATATTAAAAATTAAATTAAAAGAACATACAAAGATTATTGAGCATTAATTTTGATTGAGTCCTCTTGCCTTTGTTCACAGCCATTTTGCTCCTGTCGATGTTGATTCCAAAAAGCTCCTTGCACTCTTTGATGAATTTCGTCTCTTTCTCCTCATTTCCTTTAATGCTGCTATCAAAACCAGAGCTGTGGATCTTTTGTGCCATGAATTCGCTGATGTATGGAGCGAAGAGCTTGTCGTCTGAGTTGATGTACTCCAAAACTCGGAAGAGTTTCGTGACTATATATCCCTGAAAATATTAATTATTAAAATAAAGAGCAATATAAATTAGACCTCATCAAGAGCGACGTTGAGCTCAATTGATGTACAGGTAGAAACCCAGCCTCTTTGGAGATCGGTGTGGGAGCAGTTGTAATTTGGGAGCACATCTCCAGTTGGGTATTTCCTGGCGCATGCTGCACAAAGTGTGAAGAGGAGACGTTCATCTCCGTCAAGTTTCATAGGAAGAACAGCCACATCGATTTTCTTCGGAGGGATAACAAAAACCTTAAATAATAATTTTAATTTAAAATTTAAAATATTAATTACTTTCAAAATAGACAGCTCAAATTTATTATCTGTGGATGTTGTCCAGAGCACATCCTTGTTCAAAATATGAACTTTTGGATGGCCGATAGGATACTTCGTTGTTACGTTGATGTAGGGGTAAAGAGAAGTTACGTCGTAGTAGGATATCTTTTCCCCTTTGGACGGAGCATGGAAGAGCTTAAGCGGTCCAGTTCTTCCTCCGAAAAAACAAGATCGAATATCGATCGGACCTCCATCCATATAGTTGTTGAAGCTCCTTTTCATTTCTCTATTCTTGGACAACATATCCTTAATTTCACACTCCCAATAGACTTTAATATTAATATTTTGTTGTTTGATGAAGTCTAGACGATTTTTGTCGTGCTCCCTCTGCTTTCCCGCTGTTTTACCATTCGGGAGGAGCATGTTGTCTTGAGGGTAGCATCGGGAGCAGCCGTGCCACACACACCCATTTACTTCAATTCCAAGTTGTTGTTCCTTGACCCATCCGTCCAGACGATATTTGCCGATCATTTTCTCTCCTTCCTCCGAATAAGCGGTTTGAATGTTGACGTTGTTCTCCTTTGAATACCATTCAAGGAACTTAAGAGCAAGCTTGCTCTGATTATCGGCGTTGTCATAGCCCCGCTCTGGAACAAGTCCTAAAATTTTTTTATTTTAGTATAATTTTAAAAATTAAAAAATTAACCGAGATGACGCTCCTTTAGATGATTTGTTCTGAAGTGGCGCATACAGGCGGAGGCGATGGTCATAGCCTCCCGGAGCACGTCTATGCCATCGTGAGCCTTTGTTGATGCTGCTCTCTGTCCAGCTCCTCTTTTTGTCACCTGAAATTTCAGAAAATTATTATTGCTCCTTAAAATATTCAAAAATTACCTCAAGAAATTCCTTCCTGAAAGAAATGAGAGCTGCCATCAAAATTTCTACATCGTTGGTGCAATATGCTGCTAGCTCCTCATCGAGCAAAAACGGTTTTTTGTTGTTTTGTTGGTACCATTTATTAAAACTTTTCCTTTTTTCAGGCATCATGCCGTCCGCAAAGTAGTCTGATGGTTCAGGAAATATTTCTTTTCCATAGTTGTCAGTCCGATTAGAACGGTGTGGAAAATAAGGCTTATCTTCCACGTCTAATCCGAATGCTGGTACTAGAGATGCGAGGCTCATTGGCATGAGATTGAAGCTGTCTCGGAAAATTAGGAAGCTCTTCTTTCCAATTTGCAGCTTTAGCTCATAAAGTTTGTTGCCGTTGTTAATCATACTTGGAGTAAATCCTCGGAGGAAGAGCATTCGAAAGACAATCACCATATCAAATCTCCCTCCGAAATGAGAGAAAGCATATGTTGTAGTCTTTGTTGTTAATCCTACAATCCAGCTCACGAACTCTTCCAGAGGATTTGATGTAATTACTTGACGATCAACTGTTGTTTTAGTGAATGCTCTCTCTGAGAACGTGACCAAACGTTCCTCACTGCAAATATTACAGTCAGAGCTGATGTTATCGATACACTTTGGGCAGGAAATTTTTGCTGCAATGAAGTTTGGCATGTGTTTTCTCTTATTGTTGTCATGCTGCTCTGGGATGTGTTGCATAGTCTCGAGATCGAAGGCTACTATTCGATAAGGAGCTGGCTCTTTTGGCTCAAGAGGACGAATGAAGCATCCTCTCTTTGTATCGTGAAAGCAGAGACATGTTGTACAATAGCGCTCGTTGCAAATATGCCCTTTGCGTCCGTTTCTGGTGTTTATTGCTACATCCCATATAACTCCGCAGGTTAAACAACGTTTGGAGAGGCTGCAGAAATTTAAACGAAGATGTTGTTCGAAGCAGTTGTTGTTGCTAAAATTTTTGGAGCAACCTCTGCAGTGTTTAAAAAAATTTTCGGGCTGACAAGGAAATTTCGGGCCGACTTGGGAGCATTTTATACATCTTGCTTTGCAGGTCTTCGCATGTCTTGAAGCACGGTTATACACCTTTTCACAGCTCAAACAATAAGGACGTCCAAAAAGTCCTCCCGGCTCCTTGACTCCGTGAAAGTGCTCGTTGTTTAAATAATAAAGGAGCAGTGGTGTATCGTAGTCGGATGGGCCGTATTTAAATAATGGTTCATAGCGCCCCATTGATCCGAAAACAAAAGCTTTGAACGTGAACTGGCCTTTATATTCGTTGTTCCATAGATCAATAACTGGTGGTATCCATTCTTTAGCATCATAGCTCTTCATATTTTTAGGAGCTTTTACTTTGCTCATCAGCTCCTTAACATCCTTTTCAAATTTACCGGCCCATCCATAACGACCGTGAAGGTAGTCATAGAATTGTCGTTTGTCGAATTTTTTGATGTTGTAAAATAAAGTAGCTAAGAGAGAGTAGAACAAGCAGAAAGTGTCGACATTTTTAATCTAAATATTCATAAAATTAGTCTAAAATCGAAGCTCTTTGAAATAAACCTTGATCAAGCTATGGTCCTTAATTTGATGTTGAACAGGAGCAGTTTTTCCATTAGCTCCTCCTTTTAAACGACGCACCTCCACTGCTCTTGTTTTGTCTAAGACCGTTGTTGTTATTGTAAACGGCTTCCCCCATAAAGTAACGCCGGATTGCTTCTTGCTCTGTGAGACCTTCAGGAACAAATTCAAGATAGAGTCGACGGTGTTTGAAGTCAGCTCCCTGAAAAAATCAAAAATTTAGATAAATTAGGAGCAAATTAAAAATTTTTACATAATGATTTTCACAAAAAATTAATAAAGAGCACTTTACTTTTTAGGAGAAATAGTTAAGAGAAATTTTAAAAATTGATAAATTAAAGATAATATTTTTTAAACCCACCTTATCGGCACCCAAATGTCCGATTCCAACAGCTCACTTGTGACGGTGCATCCCAGCTTTTCCGGCTCAAGCCCTTTGCTCCTGCTCTCATTTAGAGCTTCATCAATACAATGTTGGAATATTGATGAGAGCAAGTCCTCCGGATCAACCGGGACGTCCTTGATTAGGAACTTGGACTTGCTCTTGACCACATTGAATTTTTTAATGTAGTCAATTTCGTTGTCAAGCAATTCAACGTAGTCTTTCGTTGTTTTGCTACCGCTCCCTTGTTGTTGTTGCTGAGCTCCGAAGAGCAAATTTTCAATAAAATAATCCCGGGAAAATTTTTGAGGAATTGGGCAAGGAGAAGTATTTTTACGTTTACGATTATTCATATCAACTAAAATTTTAAAATTTACTAGATAAATATCAATATCAATAAATAAAAAGAATTTTTAGATTGATATCTAAGGAGAAAACTTTGTGACTATATAGCTAGCAATATAGGAGCAAGAGCAAAACTAAGAGTAAATTAGGAGCAGGAGCAAAACTATAAGCAATTAGGAGCAGGAGCAATTACTTAGGAGCAAGAGTGATAAGGAGCAAAAAAAAAAGGATTAAAAATAGGATAAAAAACCAAAATTAACTAGATTTAATAATAAATTTGATAATAATATCATTTTAAATTAAAATTTTTAAAATTTTAAAATTTTTATTTAAAAAAAAAAAGCAAAAGAGCAGATGTGAGAGCATTAAATAATAAGTTTTAATTCCCAAAATTAATTTTAATAAATTAATTAAAATTTCGAATTAGACTAAATGAAATTTTTAATCAGTCGGAAAAATTTAGTTGAAAAAATTAAGGAGCACAATAAAATAAATAGAGCAATGTTTAAAAGAGTAGAAAATTTTTATCAAATTAAATTCTAAAACTTTATAAATTAGCCACCTGATAATATTTCTTTCCTAAAAACAAGATATTTTTAATTAAAAAATTTAAATTAGGTATCAAAAAAATGAGGAGCAATTATGTATAAAATTGAAAACTAAGAGCAATTGGGAAATGGAAAGCAATAGAAAAATTTATTTTAAATAAATGTAAATTTTTATTGTGAAATAAAAGATAAGAGTAAGGAGCAACGTAATAAAAATTAATTTAAAAATAATATTTGATTATATAGTTAAAATAAGGATCAAATATGAGGAGCAAGGGATACGGAGCAAAAGTTAATCAGCAAAGACAAAGAGAGCAATGAGGAAAAATACTAGAAAATAATATTATTTAAAAAAATATAATTTTTTATTATTTGAAAAATGTTAAGTTTAGCTAAAAAACTAAAAAATTTTAAAAGATTAAATGATAATCAGATAATGATTTAAATTTGACAAGATAAACGTCTATGATAATTTGAATTAAAAAGATTAAAATTTATTAAGGATGGAGGATGGCATAATTTTATAAAAATTAAAAGGATAAACAAACCAAAAAAATATTCTTTTTGGATATCGATTACAATAATGAAAGAAAAGAACAACACGGGAAAAGTTGCCACAACCAGTCCCCTCCCCTATCTTCTTCTTTTCTCTCTTTCTACCAGTCCCGCGCAGTTACCCTTACATTTTTTCCTTTCATGGAATGCCGTTCTTTAAAAAACGACAGATGGTGTTTTTGAGGGAAAATTTTTCCTATCTAAAAAAAGAAGCAAAGTAAAATTCAAATTTTATTTGTTAGTTAAAACAATTTTATAATAGAAAATGAATTAAAGGGACCAAACAAAAATAATTTAGAAATGAAAAGTGGCATATTTAATAATTTGGGCGCAGTCTTTACAAACAAAAAATTTATAAGTGTATTTATTTCCTTCAATTTTTATAATTTCTTCTTGTTTCATTCCAAATATCGTCTCAAAGCATTGATTACACCAAGTTGAGAGCTCGTAGTTATGATCCAAAAATCCTAGAAATGTGGAGTAGTCCAATTTCTCTCCATTTTTTAGCATTTGATTGACATCCTTTGTCAATGGATGCCAAGAGCAGTCCCAAAATTCAGCTTCTCCCTAAATAATTTAAGTTAAATTTGATTTCCTGGAGGCATTTACCTCCAAAACACTTTGCTCAACAACAACATTTTGAGGCATTTCAATCGGAGAAGCGAACGTATGAGCCAAAAACGGTTTAGCTCCCTAAAAATTTTAATGAAAAATTTAATATTTTTTAAAATACCTCTTGCTCCATATCCTTAATATTTAAAAAGCTGGCGAAAGTTTGCTCCATAATTATTATTTTAGCTAATTTCTAAAGTTCTGGAAAATAAATTATTAAAAATTAAGTAAAAAATGCGCAAAAAAATTTAGGAGGAATACTAGTTGTGTAAATTATTGGAGAATGAGCGCAAGCGCTCCTCGTATATCTCTTTTTTTTTTTTGAGAGCTCACGCAAAGTAGCCCTCCTCATAGCTCTATATACCATAACCTCCCACTATTTATGAAATACAATTCCTTAATGAAACAAGCCAAGCTAAATTCAAATTTTATCGATTAATTAATTTATATACAATTTTTGTCACAAACAAATCAGGGTTAGGTTGAGAGTCTAACAATTTAATATATTGAGGGAAAGAATAATTTAGAGAAAGAAAATATACAAGTGAAATACAATGGTGAGAGCAAGTTTTTGCTAGAGGGGATTGATAGGGATGTACATTTTTTAAAACAGAAAAATTTTTTAAAAAATGATTTGAAATACATTTACTAATAGGGAGAGCTAGACTATCAAAATAAATCACTTTTCTTCCTTTTGTGTATATAAGAGCAATCCAATGTGATCCTCCTGAATTTTGCGAGTCCAAATTTATGATGAGCACTGAAGGGAGCCGAGTAATCCTTGTAGGAGGAGGTCTGTCACACGGAAAACATCCCTGAAATAGTTGGCTCGTTAAGGGGTTTGAGTTCAAAATTTTCACTATTTGACTGCTGTACATCTGTATTATTATATCTTTTTCTTTGAAAAATTACCCAAAAGAAGGAACGAAGTTGATAGACAATGAGACTTAAAATGAGCACAAAATAAAGTCCAATCATTCCCCAACAAAAGATGTGTCCATAAATATCATTTCCAGGGCTCTCTTTGCAAAGTTGTATTGTTGGAAAATTTCTATTCGGGAATCCTATTATTAGAGGTAAAGAAGTAGTAGATGGTCTAAGTTGTTTAATAAACTCTGAATATTCAGGTAAATTTTCCAAATTTACATCCGTATTTTTAAATAAAGAGTAGGAGCAAGGAGCAAAAATTAGAGCAAAAATTATAAATTTCATTGTAACTAAAAAATTTTTAAATTATATCAAATGGTAGTATCACTTGCAATAGTTCGGTTTTTATCGAGCATAATAAGAGAGTCAGCTTCTCCCATTACAATTAGCATTGCTCCTCCTTCTGGAACGGCCTGGCTAAATTTAATATTTACTGCAGTTGTTCCGTTTCTTATTAAATCAAATGAGCCTCCTTGTTCATCTCCACTATTAGTAAGATTAAAGACATAAATACAGCTACTTTGGCCAAATTGTTGATAAGTAATCCCGTTGCTCTCACATGAATTTGCGAAACCGAGAGCATCGTTCATATCATTAAAAGCTCTCGCATATTTATAATTTCTATAGTCGAGATCATAAGGAGCTTGAGGATAAGAGCGCCCATTGGCAATAATACTAAGTTCTCTGACATTGAAATGTTGAAAATTAAATGGACTGCGCTCAACTGTTCCCACATAATCCGAATTTGAAACGAGACCTAAAATTATCCTCCTAGGGATTTGATCCATAAATATATTTGAATTAAATTCGTAACGACCATGGCTTATAAATAGCTGTTTCATCATTGTTTTCCTGACAGCATAGCGAGCTGGTTTTGTGTCAAGTTTTCTTGTAATATCTAAAGCTAGTCCATCCATGAGCTCAACTTTTTTAACATAGAGCTTGCAGCTCACTACTTCAAAATGATAATTTGTTGCTTGAGCGAGAGCTGGAGGGGTAGGAGGAGCTATCAATACAAACCTATTATCATTCGGTAGAATCTCAATGTCAACCTCACAATGATTAACAATGATTAAACATTTAAATTAAAATTTTTAAAATTTTAAAATTTTTATTTAAAAAAAAAAAGCAAAAGAGCAGATGTGAGAGCATTAAATAATAAGTTTTAATTCCCAAAATTAATTTTAATAAATTAATTAAAATTTCGAATTAGACTAAATGAAATTTTTAATCAGTCGGAAAAATTTAGTTGAAAAAATTAAGGAGCACAATAAAATAAATAGAGCAATGTTTAAAAGAGTAGAAAATTTTTATCAAATTAAATTCTAAAACTTTATAAATTAGCCACCTGATAATATTTCTTTCCTAAAAACAAGATATTTTTAATTAAAAAATTTAAATTAGGTATCAAAAAAATGAGGAGCAATTATGTATAAAATTGAAAACTAAGAGCAATTGGGAAATGGAAAGCAATAGAAAAATTTATTTTAAATAAATGTAAATTTTTATTGTGAAATAAAAGATAAGAGTAAGGAGCAACGTAATAAAAATTAATTTAAAAATAATATTTGATTATATAGTTAAAATAAGGATCAAATATGAGGAGCAAGGGATACGGAGCAAAAGTTAATCAGCAAAGACAAAGAGAGCAATGAGGAAAAATACTAGAAAATAATATTATTTAAAAAAATATAATTTTTTATTATTTGAAAAATGTTAAGTTTAGCTAAAAAACTAAAAAATTTTAAAAGATTAAATGATAATCAGATAATGATTTAAATTTGACAAGATAAACGTCTATGATAATTTGAATTAAAAAGATTAAAATTTATTAAGGATGGAGGATGGCATAATTTTATAAAAATTAAAAGGATAAACAAACCAAAAAAATATTCTTTTTGGATATCGATTACAATAATGAAAGAAAAGAACAACACGGGAAAAGTTGCCACAACCAGTCCCCTCCCCTATCTTCTTCTTTTCTCTCTTTCTACCAGTCCCGCGCAGTTACCCTTACATTTTTTCCTTTCATGGAATGCCGTTCTTTAAAAAACGACAGATGGTGTTTTTGAGGGAAAATTTTTCCTATCTAAAAAAAGAAGCAAAGTAAAATTCAAATTTTATTTGTTAGTTAAAACAATTTTATAATAGAAAATGAATTAAAGGGACCAAACAAAAATAATTTAGAAATGAAAAGTGGCATATTTAATAATTTGGGCGCAGTCTTTACAAACAAAAAATTTATAAGTGTATTTATTTCCTTCAATTTTTATAATTTCTTCTTGTTTCATTCCAAATATCGTCTCAAAGCATTGATTACACCAAGTTGAGAGCTCGTAGTTATGATCCAAAAATCCTAGAAATGTGGAGTAGTCCAATTTCTCTCCATTTTTTAGCATTTGATTGACATCCTTTGTCAATGGATGCCAAGAGCAGTCCCAAAATTCAGCTTCTCCCTAAATAATTTAAGTTAAATTTGATTTCCTGGAGGCATTTACCTCCAAAACACTTTGCTCAACAACAACATTTTGAGGCATTTCAATCGGAGAAGCGAACGTATGAGCCAAAAACGGTTTAGCTCCCTAAAAATTTTAATGAAAAATTTAATATTTTTTAAAATACCTCTTGCTCCATATCCTTAATATTTAAAAAGCTGGCGAAAGTTTGCTCCATAATTATTATTTTAGCTAATTTCTAAAGTTCTGGAAAATAAATTATTAAAAATTAAGTAAAAAATGCGCAAAAAAATTTAGGAGGAATACTAGTTGTGTAAATTATTGGAGAATGAGCGCAAGCGCTCCTCGTATATCTCTTTTTTTTTTTTGAGAGCTCACGCAAAGTAGCCCTCCTCATAGCTCTATATACCATAACCTCCCACTATTTATGAAATACAATTCCTTAATGAAACAAGCCAAGCTAAATTCAAATTTTATCGATTAATTAATTTATATACAATTTTTGTCACAAACAAATCAGGGTTAGGTTGAGAGTCTAACAATTTAATATATTGAGGGAAAGAATAATTTAGAGAAAGAAAATATACAAGTGAAATACAATGGTGAGAGCAAGTTTTTGCTAGAGGGGATTGATAGGGATGTACATTTTTTAAAACAGAAAAATTTTTTAAAAAATGATTTGAAATACATTTACTAATAGGGAGAGCTAGACTATCAAAATAAATCACTTTTCTTCCTTTTGTGTATATAAGAGCAATCCAATGTGATCCTCCTGAATTTTGCGAGTCCAAATTTATGATGAGCACTGAAGGGAGCCGAGTAATCCTTGTAGGAGGAGGTCTGTCACACGGAAAACATCCCTGAAATAGTTGGCTCGTTAAGGGGTTTGAGTTCAAAATTTTCACTATTTGACTGCTGTACATCTGTATTATTATATCTTTTTCTTTGAAAAATTACCCAAAAGAAGGAACGAAGTTGATAGACAATGAGACTTAAAATGAGCACAAAATAAAGTCCAATCATTCCCCAACAAAAGATGTGTCCATAAATATCATTTCCAGGGCTCTCTTTGCAAAGTTGTATTGTTGGAAAATTTCTATTCGGGAATCCTATTATTAGAGGTAAAGAAGTAGTAGATGGTCTAAGTTGTTTAATAAACTCTGAATATTCAGGTAAATTTTCCAAATTTACATCCGTATTTTTAAATAAAGAGTAGGAGCAAGGAGCAAAAATTAGAGCAAAAATTATAAATTTCATTGTAACTAAAAAATTTTTAAATTATATCAAATGGTAGTATCACTTGCAATAGTTCGGTTTTTATCGAGCATAATAAGAGAGTCAGCTTCTCCCATTACAATTAGCATTGCTCCTCCTTCTGGAACGGCCTGGCTAAATTTAATATTTACTGCAGTTGTTCCGTTTCTTATTAAATCAAATGAGCCTCCTTGTTCATCTCCACTATTAGTAAGATTAAAGACATAAATACAGCTACTTTGGCCAAATTGTTGATAAGTAATCCCGTTGCTCTCACATGAATTTGCGAAACCGAGAGCATCGTTCATATCATTAAAAGCTCTCGCATATTTATAATTTCTATAGTCGAGATCATAAGGAGCTTGAGGATAAGAGCGCCCATTGGCAATAATACTAAGTTCTCTGACATTGAAATGTTGAAAATTAAATGGACTGCGCTCAACTGTTCCCACATAATCCGAATTTGAAACGAGACCTAAAATTATCCTCCTAGGGATTTGATCCATAAATATATTTGAATTAAATTCGTAACGACCATGGCTTATAAATAGCTGTTTCATCATTGTTTTCCTGACAGCATAGCGAGCTGGTTTTGTGTCAAGTTTTCTTGTAATATCTAAAGCTAGTCCATCCATGAGCTCAACTTTTTTAACATAGAGCTTGCAGCTCACTACTTCAAAATGATAATTTGTTGCTTGAGCGAGAGCTGGAGGGGTAGGAGGAGCTATCAATACAAACCTATTATCATTCGGTAGAATCTCAATGTCAACCTCACAATGATTAATTAAATATAGCGGTTGATTAAAGATATCTGCGTCTAATTTTGAAACAAACTGGGCCGTTCTGCTGTTAGTGAATAGACTTTTCCTTGAATTAAAAGAGCTCCCTAACTGCTGATTTGTTCCAGGTTCATAATAATAGCCAGAAGAATTTAAGTGAGAGCTCTTTGCTCCTGCTGAGTAAGAGAGCTCATGAGACAAATAGGTCTTGTATGCGTAGAGTGAGTTTGAGTTGAAAATTTCTCTACCATTTACACTAACTCTCATATTATTAATAAAAGTTTTACCAATCATTTGTATTGGTGCCACATTTTCGTCTAGGGTTAAATTTACAAGTTGACCACTAGCATTTTCTTTCCGAATGCGAAATTCTGTGAGTAAATAACATTTTGATAAATCAATGTAGTTTGAGCTCGAATGTATTTTGAAGTGGTAAGGTGTATCTGTCAAAGGGTTACTAGGTAAAATTTCAAATACTTTGGAGGAGGAAATGCTCACATTTGTAGGAGGAACATGAAAAAAGTCGAGAGCATTTGTTATAGAATTGATACTTTCTCCGTCAATTTTATGGAAAGCCATAATTATTTTAAATAATTTTTAATAGAGACCAAAAGCGTCTTTTCGTAATCTTTTTCTTTTAATAAATGTTTGATGAAGTTTATCTAATTCTCGTTTCCTTTTTATACTCTTTTTTACTCCTGTTCCAAACTGTTTAGGGAGACCACCTTTCTCCAACACTGTATCGATTCCTTTTCTTCCTTCACTAACTAATGCCTCTTTTATTGGCTCTCCCTTGTTAACTCTTTCTAAGACTCTCTGTCCTGTGTTAAGAGCTTCCGCAGATACAGTACTCCCCACTCTTTGAATAATAGGGAGTATGAATCGCCAGAGACCTCGCATCACATCACCAACGCCTGCTCCTCTTTGACCATAACCCCTTTGAAAGGGAGGAGCTCCTCTGAAATAATTGTATTCGTCTGAAATACCGTGTCCAATCATCTCATTGGGCAGGAAATTATCGTAGGATACCGTACTTGTATCAAAAATAATATGAACCATTTTTAAATTAATTTAAAACTAAAAATGAGTAAATTTTAAAAATGAGCTATTTATATAGAAATGAACTTCGAAATTAAAAGTTTATCACTTTTTTAAAAATTAATACAATATGAACTGTTCCGAAAGCAAAAGGGACTAATCTTCCATTATCCATAGTTCTTAATTCAACTTCAATTTCATTAATTTCTCTAGGGAGCACACGCGCGTAGATGGGTGAGTCATAAATCTTCTCATTGTATTCTCCCGGCACTGCACCTGAAATAGAGACAACTCGAAGAAGAGAGCTGAGGGAATTTCCGACAATCATGTTTTCTGTCAATCCTTTGGCATATATGGCAAAACTTGAGAACCCTCCTCTTAAATCACAACCGTACTTTGCAATTTCATTATTATAAACATTATTAGGATTAGAAAATCCTAAGACATACCCAAGTTGAGGGGAGAAAGAAATCGATAATATGCTTTCGTTTTTAAAAACTGCCTTGAAGCGAGAAAAATCCTTGAGATACTGTAATTCAATTGAATCTATTATATTTTTTAGAAGAGTAAGATTAGGTGTTGCTTCCTTCAGTTTGTAGTCTTTACCAAATAGAACTTCAAACAATTTGTCAGCTCTTGAATTGTATTGCTCCTTCCTAGAACCCTTTAATCCCATAACTCCTAATACAGTAGGCGAAGCTGGAGGTGTTGTCTGTGTCATATTGTCTTTCTTTTTAGCCAATCCTAGTGCAGACAAAACAGTAGATGGGGGTTTTTGTATTTTTTGCTCATCTTTTTTCTCCTCTTTTTTCGAGCTCCCTAAGCCTATACTATCCAACACACTCGCAGGACGTTTTTGTGATTTTTTCTTTTCCTTTTTATTGCTCTCCAACCCTGCACTACTTGAAACCGATGATTTTTGTGTACTATTTTCTTTAGGTTTCTTCTCATCCTTTCTTGATAAATCTAAAGCACTAGGAGTAATAGAGTCTGGAGGTTTTTGTGTAGTAATAATTTGCTCTTTTTCAGATTTTAGAGATGGAGGTTTTTGTGTAGTACTAATTTGTTCTTTTTCAGGTTTTGGAGTTGAAGGTTTATCATCTTCCTTATACCTTGGAGGAGACTTTAATTCCTCTCTAGGAGTCGGAGGTGGTGGTTTAGTTTTCTGCTTCTCTTCTTCCTTTTTACCTAATCCTATACTAGTCAAAACACTTGATGGTTTTTCTTGCTCTTTTTTCTCTTCATTCTTATTTAACCCTATAGAACTCAAAGCACTTGAAGGACGAGGTTGAGAGTGTGGCTTATCTTTCTCCTTTTTCTCTTCCTTTTTAGCTATTCCAATAGTACTCAAAAGGTTAGAAGATGGCTTTTGAGTCGAAGGTTTTTCTTGCTCATTCTTATTTTCCTCTTTACTCACTCCTATATTACTTAAAACAGGAGGCTTTTGAGTCACAGATTTTTCATGGTGAACTTGCTCTTCCTTCTTGCCAGGCTTTATGGTACTCAAGTCGGTAGAAGTTGGTTTTTGAGGAACACTTTCCTGTGCCTGTGGCTCTTTCTCCTCTTTTCTTTCTTTCTTTGGTTTTGGAGGTAGAGTCTTTGCATCCTCTATTGTAGAAGGTATTGGAGAAGATTTTTCTTTCTCATTTTCTTCCAAATAAAGTGGTGGGGTTCTTGGCCCTTCTCTTGTCGGAGACGGAGTTTTATCTTTATTCTCATCCTCTAGATATAAAGGTGGTGTTATTAGTTCTGGGGAAGGAGATTTTTCTTTATTCTCTTCTTCCTCTTCATATAGTGGAGGAGATTTTAACGGAGGAGATATCGGTTCATCTCCAGAGCGTTTAATCCTCTCCGCTCTTGGAGGAGATGTGAGAAGAGATGGAGGAGGAATAAATGCTCCTGGTTTTTCAACAGAGTCTATAGCATCAGACTGATGTTTAAGTGTTGTGGATAAATAATTTCTGAGAGCTTCAACACTATTATGAGATGCTGCAGGAACTGGTACTTGGAGAACATTTTTCTTCAAATTGTCATCAATAAAATGTATTTTCAACCATTGCTCATCAAGCGTACCAATTGTTGATGGCCAAGAGAATGGGTAGCTTATACTATGTACTCCGCAAACCCAATTACCTGAAAAATACAAAGGCTTGGGGAGATGGACTCGAAATTTATTTGGCTGATTATCTGGGTAATCTGTAGTATTGCTTTCAAGAAATACAAAGAAACTATTTGACATTTTTATTTAAAGAAAAATTTTTTACAAATAGATGAAAAAATATAAATTGATAAACAATGAAACAAATGAATGTCTTTTATACTAATTGCGACTCTGAAATCCATTCTCGTTCTGGATATCCTATATATTTTACTAACAACTCATATGTTCCATCTGACCTCTTTCTCTTTCTATAAACCTTTTCAATTCGGTACTCAGTATCTGCATCTTTTCGCACACGAGCCAGCTCCTCTCCATAGAAGGAGCCTTTGAATCTTTCACCTTTCTCATCTCTAACTTTGTATCGAATTGGTTTAGCTTGGTTAAACACCTGATCAACTTCTAAAATTTCATCGCCCCAATTTGGAATATACCCTTTTTCAAATGCTCCTTTCCCAACACTCATCCTTACATTTTCTCCCTCCTTGAACTTTGGTTTGCCTTTTGTAAAATCAAACCCTCCATAAATTTTCTTCCATACCTCCTGAGCATTCTCAAAATTTACATCAATAGGTCGCATCCCATGTACTCTACACTTTGACTTATTGATTCCTTCAAGAATTTTTGGCAAAACATCAATCCAATTGAGTATTATGTTTTGAGAAAAATATCGATATAATCGCTGTTTAACATTTCGGATTGCTCTCTCAGCTAATGAAGCTTTAACTGTTGAATGGGCTGGTTCAATCTTTTGTATCTCTTCTTTTTCAAAATATTCTTTTAGTAATTTATTGCGAAACTCCAAGCCTTTATCTGAAAATATTCTGTGTGGTTTCATAGGCATTTGACCCATGAGGAGCTTGAATGCTTCGACCATATCTTCAGCTTTCTTTGCTTTGACAGGGACTCCAAAGAGCCTTTTTGAAAGAACATCAATTCCTAGGAGCAAGTATCGATTGCCTTTATTATGTCTGGAGAGAGCTTGAAAATCGGCCAAGTCTACTTGGACATCTGTCATAAATCCTGCTGCTATTGTTTTACTTCGAGGAAAATGCACCCTTTTTGGCCGCATTAGAGTATAGGTGCGGTGTCCTTCCAGAAAATTTTGTACAGCGCTCCTGGGTATATCTTTTTCAATTTTTCTAGCCTCATGCCATAAACTATCAATTCCTGAAAACGCTGCAGGCGATTCAGGATTATTATACAATTGTTTTAAGAGTTTAATATAATCTGTCATTTTTCTTAAATTTACCAAAGTGATGGTTTAAATCTCGAAGAATTCGCTTCTTTATTTCTAGCTTTAATAAGGTTTTTTGCCCATAAACGACCCGCCCTTTCTGATTGGCTCTTTGAAACAGTTCTTCTCATTCGTTTCTCCTCCCTTTCTGGAGAACCCTCCCTTTTCCGTTTAAAAAGTTGTCGCGGTCTAGGATGTGAGGGAGATCTACCATCTCTAATAATTCTATGACGTTGACGAGGTTTGTTGGCTCTATTCAGTAAATTTGCCACCTCGTCGCGACGCATTTGTTGTATTACTCCATGATCGAGTGGTACTTTAACATTTTGAGCAGCTTTCCTTCTCTGTAATAGCTCTTTCCTCTTTTGATTTTGCGCTGTTTCTATTTGTCTAGCCATAAGTTCTTTGTTTTCATATGTATTCTTTCTTCTTTTAACACCTTCATTGTTATTTGAATCTTGCTCTCTCTTCTTGGTTTGGAGAGGAATAGGAGGAGAAGGAGTTGATGGGATATTTTCATTAGTAGGAGGAGAAGGAGGTAATGGAATATCTTCATTAGTATTGCTCCCATTTTCAATATAGGAAGAATATCTGGCCTTTCCTTTCTTCTTTGGTTTCTTACTCTTTTTAATATTTTTTGAAACATTTCTTAACTTCTTAGAATTGATATTATATTTAGGTTTAGAGGTACTTGGTTGTGTAGGAGAAATAGGAGGCGAAGGCAATTGAAGAGCCTCGTAATTTTGCTCGGATGATGGAATAGAAGGAGGAGGAACAAGATTATATGCTCTATTAGGAGGCTGTGTTGGATATGACGAGAATGAAAGATCATCGCTCATCCACAGATCGTCATCATTTTCATTGATATTTGTTGAAGGATGGACTAAATTTTGACTCATGATAGCTCCTTTAGGAGAGGCAACGAGCTCGACCTTAACAGGGCGATTTTCTCGTTCATTCCTCATAGTTAGATAACGCCTCAGCTCCTGATTGTAATGAATATTTTTTACTGAAGACCTATTCTTTTTACTTTTAGCTCCTTCAACCTCTCTTCTAGCAAAATCTATATTTGGTTCGCCAGTATCATAAGTTGTAAGTCCTCTGTAAATATCTTGAGGGACGAGAACAAATTTATTTGCCATTATTATTATTATTAAATTTTAAAATTAATTTTTGCTTTTTATAGTAAATGATCGCGCCAATTCGATAAGAATAGGAGTAATGAGCGCTGAAAATGCTCCTATTCCAAACCCGCTCCCTTTTTGATTTAAAACTTTTCTAGCTCCTCTCTCGCTCCTGGCACGGCTCATACGACGTACAAAATCTACATACGGTAAAAGACGTTTCTTTTGACGCGTAGAAAGATTAAATCTTGCCTTGACTATATTTAGACAAATTTCTGCTAAAGACAAAAGATGATGTGAAGTTGCAAGTCTCAAGAGTCTCCTAATTTTTCGTTGGGACTTTGTTCGAGCAAGCTTTCGTAAAAACTCAATATTTTCTTTTACTAAATTACTAACCATTTTAATAACCGTTTTTAGGAATGAAAATAATTTTTTCTTCGTCTTCTTTAAATATGCTTGTCCGAAGCTTTAAACTTGGATCTGAAGAGGCATGCATATCAATAAGTAAATATCCATAAGGCTCTTTAGTAGCTTGTTTATATGCGTCAAGGAAATAATCTAATTGACGAGGAAAGAGTTGTACCCCAATATTGCGGACAGATAAAACAGAATTTGGAGAGCGCATGAGCACTAAGTATTGAGCATTCTGGCGAGCAACTTTTATTTTTCTCTCGAATAAATTTTGGGTGACAAAGACAACTGAAAAATTTTGATGATGCGACTTTTTCGTAAAGAGCTCAGACAAATATTTCTCATCTATAGAAGTGAGCAAGTCGTCGAGAATAAGGAGCAAAGGTTTTGAAAATTTTTTAATAAGCTCCTCTGGAGGAGCACCTGCATATACACTTACTCCGGATTTTTGAAGAAGAGGTACAATATTACTCATTTCACCAAAGCAGTATAATATAGATTTGGGTGTAGGGTCAACTAAATAAGCTGCTTCAGCAATAAATTTTAATAAAAAAGTGCTCTTTCCACTAGAACTCGGACCTGAAACAATCATACCAAAAGGCGATTTAAAATTCAGTTCTTTATTCGAAAATATTGAGGAATCCATTACAATAATTTTAGAAAATAAAAATTACAATTAATTGAAAATAATAAATCGAAAAATTTCTTAAATGATTTACTGAATCGATGCTATAGCTTCCATCTCTTCTTTTTCCATCTCAACCGCTTGCTCCTTCAGAGCTTCCAATTTTTGCGCCTGAGTTGGGATCCCTTTTGTAGCAGCCGATAATTTGTCAAAGAATTCATTAAGTATACCCTCTTCAACTGTAGGAGGTATGGGAGGTTGTGGTTCTAATGGCGGAGAGACTGGTGGAGTTGCTAATGGGGGTGAAAGAAGAGGAGCAGGGAGTGTAATTGGAGCTTGAGGCGTAGGAGGTGAGAGAGTAGCTTGAATATTAAGCGAAGGAGCAGGAAGAGCTGAAGGAGGTGGAGGAGGAGGAGGAGGAAGAGCCGTAGTTGGTTGAGGAGGAGGAAGAATTGATGGTGGGGGTATATTTGTTTTCGTATCCTTATTTTCCTCACAACATTTGACGTCGCAAAAACTGCCATTTATATTAAAGACTCTTCCTTTATTACGAATTTTAAAGAAGCAGTGACCAGGTAAGTCGTATATTTTGTCAAAAGGGACAAAACGGCTCCCTGAAAAGCGAGTACACCAAGTTGTTACTCCCTCCTTGGTGATTGCAAAATCGAGCTCAACCTCTGTGCTCTTGCATTCACGACATTTACCAGCTTGGTCATAAGGAACAAAGCGTGGTGTGGAAAGGCGGGAGCAGGAGAGGGTAATTCCTATTGAAGTAATACTAAATTCGACCTCTGGAAGAATTTGGGAGGCAAGGTATTTCTTGTCGCTCATATTTAATGCCATTTTAAACTATTCTAAGATTTCAAAATTAAAATAATTTGGATAATGAAATTATTAAAAATGAATTTATGAAATATGAGGAATTGAAGCTCACTAGCAAAATTGTGCTAATATTTACAAGCTCCGCCCTTATTAATTATTAGTCACATTAATTTACTTTTTGAAATTGCTTAAAACATTTTTAATTATATTTGAACATTAGACTCTGGTGTTATGTTGGACCGTTGCTCCTGGTTTATATCAGAGAATGGAATTTAATGTATATATAAAATAAAAGAGGAATTTGAGTCACGTTGCTAATCTGCATCTCTAACCCTTTAATTGAATTATTTATTAGACTCAAGTGTCTTGTTAGACCATCCATAATACTACAACACAGAGAAATGAATTCAGGATTTCTATAAAATAAACGAGAGGATTAGAGTCACATTGCGATTCTGCGTCTCTACCCTTTCTCTTCCTAAAATAAATGAAAAAGTACTGTACCTTTCGCGCACTTCATGCGGCAACATTAAAGAGGGCTCTGTTAAATTACACAATTACTAATTTAAAAGTTTATAATAACCAAATAAAAAGTTTTACAATTTAAAAAGTTTATACAAATAAAAATCAATTAGTCAATGTCTCGTTTCACTTATTAAATTTAAAGCTCTAAAGAGAGCTATATGGGTTAAATCATTGTTGTTGACCATTTTGTCCATTGTCCAAGTATCACTGTCCATTGTCCAAGTACCACTCACACCCACGACTTCAATTTGTCGGTAAGATAAAAGAAAACCAATTAGTACTAATTGGTCAATTACCGCCAACTCTCGTCATTTGGTCGGTTATCCCCCTTAACCTCAAAAGTAATTAATTATTTACTAATTGATTTATCCCTTACCCCTCGACTACGATTTGACGGTTAGATGCAGTGAAAACCAATTAGTAGGTACTAATTGGTCAATTAACCCCTTCCCCCGACTTCGATGTATTGGCAAAGATGAAAAGGGATTGTTCAATAGGTGTTAATTGGTCAATTAGTCATACTAATTATCAAAGGAAATCTCCCGAAAACCCCCTACACCCATAGGATAATGTCGGCAAAATCAAAGAAAATTAGGCGGAAACCCCCTACACCCTTTGGTTTGAGCGGACCCCTCCCCCCGACCCCGACTTCTCCTGGCCACTCACTACTTATAAGGTATTGTCTGATCTCCTTCCCACACAAGTACCTCATCACTTATTTACAATCTTCATTTATTTTATTTAATTATGTACAAAACAATTGATATACTATTAAGTTAATAAAGTTAAAATTTTATTTAAATTAATTCCACAATCTGTTACACTAAAAATTAAATTTATTTTTTTCTATACTTTAATATAACTCTTTCAATTTACAAAATAAATTGGTTGAATAAGTAATAGCGTTTTTAAATTAAAAATTTTTATAAATATAAAAATAAATTAAAAATGTTTTATGTGCGCATAGAGCGGAAATCGATTTTAGTCTTTTTATTGCCTAAATTTCGGTTGTTTTAATAAGAATTTTTGGGGGAGAGCTGAGATTAATTTTTGCATTTAAAATAAATTTATTTTGTGGAATTGTGTGTCTACTCGCCGTGTTTTTACATTAAAAATTTAATAAAATGTATAAAATTATTTTATATTAAAAAATAAAAAAAAAGTGGAGAGATATGTGTATAATTATTTATTATTTTTGAGAAAATGCTAATAAAATAGATTAAAAATTGAATTAATTTTTAATGATGGTTGATGAAATATGTATATATTTAATAAATAAAATATTTTAGACTGAATTAAATTTTTTAAAAATATATTTATGAATAAAATTTTTAAATTAAAGAAGGAAAAATTCAAATAAAATGAAATAAATAATTATTTAAATATTATAAAAGAAAAATAAAAAAATGAATAAAATGTTTTGAGTAAAATTGTTAAAATTAATTTTAAATTATTAGAAGTTATTAGAACAATTTTTATATTAAATGTAATTAATAAGTATATTTACTCAGAGAATTATCCATTTATCCGCGAAGAACTTAAATGAAATTTTTATTATTTTTTCGAATGATATGAATTTTTAAACTAGAATTTAAAGGATTTTATTGTTAAATGTGTTACTTAGAACTCTAGTAAAAGAACTAAAAAGAACAATGAAAAAAAAACAAAAAAAAACAACTAAAAAGAACAATGTCGAGAGCAAGACTTATAACTACAGTAAGGGCTCGATATTTAAACAAAAATTTCTGATATTCTTAATCGGATCCAAAACCTCTCAAAAATTAAATTCTACTTAAGAAGTCAAAAATTAGGAAGAAAAACGAAGAGCAGAAAAATCGGAACTCATTCTCTGTACATTCTTATAATTAAAAATAATATCACCCTCTTCTGATTCTAAATAATTTTTTTTAAATCTTTTTAAATTCATTTTTAAATTAAATTGAGTTATAACATTAAAATTTCGATATAATTAATCACATTTTTTACTTTAATTTTCTACCATCTAATTATTCAAACTTCAAATACTTCGGATTTATCAGCCGCTTTTTCTTATTTAACTAAAATGTTTTTTTCTTTTTTATTTTAAAGCTCTATGTATACATTCACAATCCATTCATCCAAAGAAAATAAATAAACGAAAAAATATTTTTTATAAGAACAAAACCTGAAAAGTGCAAAATAAACGTTTTTATGTGCTGTTATATAATTATTAAATTAAAACAGACATAAAAATCCTTTAATTTATAAAAAATAAACTAACGAACATATCTTGTATTAAATTAATTAATCAAAAATTAATTTATCATTCTTAATGATTTTATAGAAATAATATTAACTGAGAGTATCTTGATTTTTTTTTCTTCCTGAATTCTTTAACTATAAATTAAAAAGAAATCTCAAAATTCTTTTATTTTTTTTTATAAAATATTTTCTTTATTATTTCAAACATTTTTTACTTCCAGTTTTTAAAAGTATTCTTTAAAAAATATAAATTTTATTTTCTTTTCTTTTTAATGTGTTCGTATATTAACGTGACTTTGTTCTTTTTTCTTACTCTATTTTTCTTCAACTTTCTAACCATCTGTCAATTTAGTTTTGGTAGAATAAAAGAAAAATGTGGGAAGACTTTTATTAGCCTTCCGCATCAGCTGACTGATGTCTCTTTAGCGTCGCTTAAAGTTAGCGCTTTTAATGAAGGCGGTACTTGCTTTTTGGTCTTACGGATTTGGCCTTAAATATAAATTCCATATCTTTCCATATTTGCTTCTGAAAATATATATATTTAGTAGTATTTAATAAGACTTTTTTTTCCATTTTTGTTTTATGTATTTCTTTTTAAGGAAATTAAAAAAAATATTTATTAAAAATTCCATAGAAATTCCAATGTAATTATTGGTTTTACTTGTTATATATTAAAATCAGTTAAAAGACTACCCACAAAATCTCATGAGATATTAAATATTTATTATTATGTCTAAACATTGTTATTATTTTTTTGTTTTTTTTTAATTTTTGGTGAATATGTATGTACATATTATTTCAAATACATATGTTTATAGATTGGAAAAACACTTAAATATTCACCGAATTTAATTTTGTTTAGAATAATTTTATTTATCTGTCCTTTAGTAAAAAATTAAACAAAACCTGAAAATTTAAAACAAAAAATTTCTAGTTTCTCCAACTAAAACAATATTTTATTTTTTTGTTTTAAATCTTTTATTTTATACAATTTTATTTTCATATAAATTTTGCATGCATATTTCCACTCAAAAATAAAATTTATTTAAGATAACAAAATTTCCTTTTTTTCAATTTTCCCGTCCAATAAACACTTACTAAATGTCAAAATAAATAAATTTTTATCTCTGCTGACCTATACATTATTATTTACTGACCAATTAAAACTTTCAAACTGATTAAAAATTATTTTTATTGTCATAAAAATAATTTTTGTTGTTATATTTTTCATTTTCATAAAATCAAAAAGGTAGTATTTAATATTCTAAAAAAATATTCTCTATTAAATTGAAAATTGAATTTATTTTTTATACAAATATCTCTTTAATAAAATCTCAATTATTATTAGAATTTTATTTAAAAAATACGTGAATTTTTATTTCTTAATTCTTAGAAAATGTGAGACCACCATGATTGAAAACCTAAGAAAATTCCTGGTTTTAAGATCTTTATTTCAAACATTCTCTCAAAAATTTTGAATATAATTTTTATTATTCTCTAACCATTCAGAATTACATGTATATAAATCTAAAATGAACAAATTAATTAATGATTACCAAGAAAATAATGAATCAACAAAATGTTGTTGCGGACAACATGAAAAAAACAAAAATGAAGAAACAACTTTACTTTACCAAATGGAATGTAAATATTTTTCACAGAACGAATCAAAAGAATTTTATTTTTGTTCTGAAGAGGATAATGCTCCATATATTATAGATATTGTAAAATTTTAAATTTTTTGACAAGAGATGAAAATTAAGAAATGAAAACAGTAGTGATATTTTTTCGCCCTACTACATATTAATATTTAGTCAGACCTCATATTCTGATACCCTCTTGAAAAAGTTGATCATATACATAGTAATATTAAATTGGATGTGCTCTTTAATTTAGAGCACCTAAAATAACCTTTTATTTATTAGAAGAATATAAATATTTAATTTCATTTAATAAACAGTTTGGTACCAGTCCATGTATAGCAGCACGTGAACGTGTTTTGGAATTATTAGTCTTAGATAATTTGGGTATTTCTTCTATTGGATGTACTCAACGTTTAATTTCCTTGGCACATCGAGTAACAGAATTGGATTTAAGTTTTAATAGATTAGATTGGTTAACTGTTGGGAAATTGATGGAGACATTACCTAAACTTTCAACATTAAATTTGGGTTATAATGCAAAACTTTGTGGACAAATTGATGGAAATGAATTACCCAAAGCTAACAAATTATGTATTAAATATATTTTAATAATTTAAAAGATATTTTCTTTTAAAGCTACACTGATTCTCAATGGACTTTCATTATCATTTTCAACACTTCAAACAATTTTTAATAGTGCCCCTTCTCTGCGAGTTTTACATCTTTCAAAAACACAATTTCCTTATTCTGAATTAAATTGTTCTGACTTGGAAAAAACAACAAAAAATTATATTTCAAAAAATTTAGAAGAATTACATTTAAATGATTGTGAAATAGATAATTGGCATAGAGTATTGAATGTTTTGTTTTATTTCCCTCAATTGGAAAGGTTTTATATTTGTTAAAAAATTAACATTTAAATTTTAAATTTCCCAATAAATCGTTAAAGGATAATATTCTCAAATCCTTAAACTAAACTAGGAGGGACGGTCTTAGTTTTTTATGAAGATGTTTTATAAAGGACTATTTTTAAGTAAGTTTCCAAATGAATTTTCCGTACATAAATAATTTAACAATTATAAATTTTTGAAAAAAAGACAAAGTTAGAGAGCACAGAGTAAGTTACTCTACTCTGATAATACATTGACTTTTAGGTATGTTTCATTCGAATACATTAAAGTCTTGAGCTTTAAGAGAAGAATTCCCGAAAATTCTTTTTAGTCAAAAATAATCCTTCTTTAAAAAAATATTTCTCTCATTCCTCTTTTGTTATTTCATATTTCTTGTAATATATTTTGTTTTGAGAGCTGCATAAAAGAAATTTGAAATTGAGTATTATCTGACTAAGAGCCGATTCAAGCCCTTAAAATCTCACTAAATTTAATAGCAATTTTCTACATATAAACGTTTTATTTAAATTTCTTTTTTTCGTTCATTCACAAATTACTTATCAATTTTCAGTCTTTTCTTAGCTGATAATCCATTAATTTCTGTTCATCATTGTCAAAAGTGCAGCCTTCAAACAAATGAATTAACTAAAAAATTACGAGTACTTTCATTAAGTAATACAAAAATTTCAAGTTGGCAATCTATCGAAAATTTACTTTCTCTTAAACAATTAGAAGAACTTAAATTAATTAATATACCTTTACTTAAAGGTTTAAAAAATTATTTTTTAGTAAAAATAATTCCTTTTTTCAAAGATTATTCAATTGAAGAACGTTTACATTTAGTTATTGGCAGACTTAGAAATTTAAAAATACTTAACGGTTCTCATATTGGTAGAAAAATAAAAATTTAAATTTAAAAATTTAATTTAAAAGATAATCGTCAACATGAGGAATCTGAACGTTTTTTTATTCGTTTTTATTCAAATTCTGACAAAAAACCTTCAATATATTCGGAATTAGTTGAAAAACATGGAATGTTAGAACAGCTAGTCAAAGTAGATTTAACCCCTAAACGTTATGCAAAAGTTGTAATTCATTGTGAGGAATGTGAATGGGTTAGAATGTTGGTTAAACTTAGATTATCTGGGACGGTTTTGGAATTGATGAAATTTTTGGAAAGGTTAACTAAAATACCTTTAAGGTATATGATATTTATTTAAAGAGGGTCATAATTTGTTAATAATAAAATAAATAATTTAACCAAAGGCTTAACAATTCTTAGCATAAATAATGAAAGAAAACTAGAATTTTATTAAAGTAAAAAATATTCTTATGGGTTCTAAAAATGATTATGCCATATTAATTTTTTGTTAAATAATATAAATTACCCAACATAAAAATTATCCATACCGTATATCCTTTAATAACTACCCTGGGTAATTATTGTTTCGACCTTCCGCTGGAGGGAGTAATTAATCGAGGGAGGGTAATTATACGAGGTTTGAAATTTGAACGTGTTTTAGGGCATTTGGTGGGGGTAATTATTGCTTCAATCCATCGGTGGATGGGGCAATTAATGGAATTGGGATAATTAGTTGAGGGAGGGCAATTAATACAGGTTATACGGTATATTACTAATTAAAAATCATCATTTTTACTACATATAATTCTTAATAGATTAATGAGAATTTTCTATGTTGACAAACAAATATCTGCATTGGGACCCGAAGAATTACGATTTCCCAATCAAGTAAAATTCTCATTTAAAATTTACAAAAAAATAATTTTAATTTTAAGGAACTCAAATTATTACATATTGAGGATGATGATGAATTTTTTATTCAGTCAAAACTTCCACAAATTAATTTAAATAATCCCAATAATACAATTAAACAAATTTCTCTTAACAAAAAATTATCCTCAAATCAAGAACAGCCCAAAAAACAATAAACAAATTATATTTTGTGATCTCTTTAAATATATTTTTATTTTTTTACAAAATACCCAATATATGCAACAATACAAATTCAATATAAACAGAATATATATTTATATATTTAATCTTTATATAATCACGCAATATCCGCCGGCAAAACCCCATATAATGACTCAGTCTTTGCATTATTTTGTGATTCGACTGATTCTTGAGTATTCTCTATATCCTCCTTTTGCCCAGTTCGCTTAGCTTTTGGTTTGCTTTTCTGAAAATTGAATAAAAAATTATGTATATATTTTTCTCCTCCTAACTACCTCTCCAGGTCTTTTAATGTAAACAGGTTCCCAATCCATTGGCTCATCGATGTTAACTTCCCGGGCGTCCATCATTTGAATAAATGCCGATTCAATGCCACAATAGTCAGGTCGTTTGTTGTAGCATAAAGTACGGAGATAGTCCATAATTGATCTGAATGCGACTGGACAACTCTGAAAATTTTGTAAAATATTTTGTGAATTAATTACTCATTAACTGACATGCATATATTCATTTTCAATTAAATGTTCTTTCAACTCAGCAGCTTTGTCACGTGTATCTTGACCAAACCAAGGCAGAGAACCATTGTTCAAATCCACCAGCATATAGATGAGAGACCTTTAAAAAAACAATTATTTGGCCAATTATTTGTCAAACATACCAAAGATCGTCATGTCGGCCAAGTTCAATGCGTTTATGAGCTGAAAAATTAAAAATATTTCTTCTGAGAATTAATCTCATTAAAACACACCATTCAAACTACAATAGCCAGGCGTTCCACGGAAAGGCACATTTATTCTTGGTTTCCTTAGGAATTTCGTTCCTCTCTTCCTCAATGATCGAGACAATCCAAAGTCAATCAGATACACCCTGCTTAGATTTTCCCGATCAACAGCAAAGTTGGCAGGCTTAACGTCTCGATGAACATAATAAATACTGTGAAGAAAAGCAATCCCCTACAAATAAATTTGTTTAGAAGTTCATCAACTATTGACTCACTCTTAAAGCCTGTACTCCAATACGTAGAACTGTCCCGGTCGTGAACTTGTATTTGGGCCTTTGGTCTTGCAAATCGCCAATAGACTTGCCTAGAAGAGCCATAACTAACACGCGAAAAGGCCTTTCTTTCGCTTAAAATTTTTAAAGTTTGGGTTAATAATCAAGTGACGAACACTCACCACGACACTTTCCATAAGCAATGAATTTTGCAGCATAGGCAGAAAACTGTAGTCGTTTGAGAATATGTGCTTCTAGTGGTAAGAGCTGATCTTGCCTCCTTTGCTCCATACTTTCAAGTTTCATTGCATATTGGTCTCCATTCGTAGCCAGGACTTTGTACACAACTCCACAGCCGCCTAAAAAGAACTAAATTTTTCTGGCAATTTATAACACAAAACTAACCAGCGCCTAAAGTCGCCGCCACCACAAATTGCCCAATACTGGCCCCCACTGGGAATTTAAGAGCATCTTCACTATATGAAAGTTTTGCTGCATCTTTGCCCTTTGCTGCTGATTCTGTTGGCTTCATTACTTGCTGCACAATTTGTGCTTGAAGAGGCTTATCTTCTTTTGGCGAATGTCCTTTGCTATCTACAGGCTTCTTTTCGTCCTTCTTTACATCTTTCTGTTCTGGGACAGGTAACTTCTTTGGTATTATTTCTAATTTTGGTATGAAGACATGAACCTTCTTTTCTTCAACTTTTGCAGCTTTGCCCTTTATTGGTTTGTCCTTCCCTTTATCTTTTTTCTTCTTATTGAGACAATGAATCAACGACGCAGCTGGCAGAAGCATCAAAAGTATGAGTAATGCAGGAACTAGAAGAGCCAAGTTGGTATAGTTGGAGCTTTGATGCATTTTTAGACTAATGGTAATGAATTGGAGGATTGGGTATAAATTGGTGTGATAGAGTGGTTTTTATAGTAGACCAGTTTAATAATTATCCCTAGTTTAATAAATATTGCTTACATTTTCAATTTTCAAATTTTATTAACTCGTGAATTATTTAGTTGGAGACAATGATGCATATTATTTTTTAGACTAATGGGAATGAATTGTTCATTAAAAGCATTAAAGATTTAATCAGATTAACAGTATACATTATATACCGTAAATGCTCGAATAATTACCCTGGGTAATTATTGTTTCGACCTCTCGCTGGATGGGGTAATTATTCGAGAGGGAGGTTCTAAATTTGGGGTTTATTTTTTGCTATTATTTAATAAACTGTTTCAATAATTAAAATTGACAATGATTTTTCAATATAGTATTTAAGATTTGTGTAGGAAAATGAGGGGGTAATTATTTAGGAGGGTAATTATTCGAGCATATACGGTATATGAAAATAAATGATTGTATATTTTATAATTAAAATCAAATAATTCCTCCTTCCAATTCAAGCAAAATTTTGTTGATTTAACTTCATTGTAGGCACATTAATAAATTTGACATTTTCTGATTTAGTAATCAACCAAGGGGTGCTTTTATCACCAAAATTGGTAAAATCAATTTTATTGAAAGTAATTGAATTGGCCAAATTTATTTGAGCTGGAGCGGCATTAGTTACTTTAATGTTGTCAAATTTCTTTAAAAAGAATGAATAATTAAATACAATATTTAGAAGAAACTTACAAAATTTTTATTATAGATTGTCTGATAATTACCGCCACCCTCATGACCGATTAAATAAATAACAGATCCACTCTTTGTTGGTTTTACATTATCAATACTACAACGAGTAATAGTTATATTACTAAATTGTGTTGGTGTTTTTGCTTTGCCATTTGCAGTTGTGTGATAATTTAACATAAAAACGAAAGGGTGTCCAGCGGTTGTATCTCCACAGAATTGGCGACCACCAAAAGTAAAATTATTGCGAGAACCAACACTCTGCATTGCTATATCACGAACATAAACATTTTGGACGCCACCTCCACATTCTGGCATACTTTTAAGTCTAACTCCATTATCAGTTAAGAAGGCAATACTGTCCTAAAATTTTAGGGTTTATCGGGACAAGTATATGTATAATATTTCTGACCTCAATAAGTATATCCTTTACCCAATCTCCAGTGCTACTGCCAAATGACGGGGCTCCATGTCCATGTCGGAAATAGTTGTTTTTAATTAGTATACATTGGACGGGAGCCCCTTGTCCAGCATTACTTCCACAACCAGTACCCATTGCAATACAATCATCGCCTGTATCGAAGAAACTTCCAATTATTTGGATATTTGAGCTTGAACCAATGTCGATACCATCACCGTTATTTATATTATATGTTTGGAATCTAGCATTGATTATTGACTTAAAAATAAATAAAATTCTTTCATAATTTTATAAAAATTAATTTAATAAACTTACAACATTTTTGCAATCTCCCAGCCCTATTGTAGTCATTGAAGGGTTTATAAATGTAATTCCTCCTCCAATATGTAAATTTGATACTGAATTTATAGCAAACAATCGTGATCTTGAACCATAATTATTTCCATTTGCAATTATTTGATTGGCAGCCAAATTCCCCAAATTTTTAAAAGTGTTAAAAGATCCTTTTGGATATACAGGAATTTGTTTTCCAAGTTCATCCGTAGTGTTCGAAGTTAATTTCCATCCATTTCCATCAATTGATCCAGGACCAATCAATCTAATGTTGGTTATTGCCTATATTTGTGAGATTAATAAAATAACTAAATGAAAAATCAAGATCTGACTTACATAAGCATTCAAAAAGGCACTAGGAGTATTTCCATATTTAATTGGAAATTTAGAAGGATTAGAAGTTGCACGTAAAATAGCCCCATTGGCCAATTCAAAAGTCATTTGTGAACGTAAAAATAAAGGCCCGCTTAGAAAAATTCCTTTTGGAATTAAAACTTTACATCCAAAAGCTGAAGTTGAGGAGGAACATGAATCTATAGCTTTTTGTATTGCTTGTGTATTTAATGTAGTTCCATCACCCGTTGCTCCGAATGTTGTTATATCAACAATCTATTTAGAAATAAATTTAATTATTAATTAATTATTATTTAATTCCCCTCCCTCGAATAATTCGCATGCCACGGATGGGTTGAAATAATAATTCACCATGGGAATTAATCGAGTAAATACGGTAATTTTTTAATAATAGGTATATTATTTTAAACAGGTAAATTATTTCTGCATGTTTTAATATTCGTTATAGGATCTAAAAGCTAAAGTTTTTAGCCCTAATTAATAAAGAATTTTATTTATTTCCAAACAACCTTTTTATAATTATCAGCAGTTTTAACAACAACTTGATTACTATTTCCAGATTCAGCCCCATTTGCATCTACAGCCCTAACAGTAAATGTGTATATCGTGTTTGGATTAAGTCCAGTAACTAAATATGTTGTAAAAAGTATTTTTGTATGGAAATTGTTTAAATCATTTTTATAAAAATTTTGAATATAAGGGCCAGACAAAGTATTTACAGCTGAATTTGCTTTAGCACTTCCAATTTTCTATAAAAATTTTTTAAAATTAATTGAATATAATATTTATCTCATAACAAATTTTATTAATTGCTGATTTTACAACAACAAAGCACTATCTCAAATTGGAGAAAAAATACAAGTTTTATATTAGAATTTTCATGCTAAGAGTTTTCAAATTTTTTAAGGTTAATTATTGTTGTGTATAGACAACATTAATGGAGAAAAATCGTTTGGAACGTAGTCAGGGACAAACTCTAATTGTAATGTATTACCTTTCCACCCATATAAACATTAAAATCAGCAATATTTTCATAATTATCAGGTTTATTCCAAGTTAGCCAAACACTTTTTTGATCATAAGCTAAGGGAGGAACACATAATTGTTGTGGTATATTTGAATTTGTACCAAAATTTGGGTTAACATTTGAACAAGAACATGGGGGTGTTATTGCTATAAATAAATATTTTAAAAAAGTTAAAGTTCAAAAAATACCTTGACTCGAAGCAAAATTTGTAGTTTCCAAAAAAATTATTTTAATTAAAATTATTCTTTTTAATATTGCTGATAGAATATAATATTTCATTTTTTAAATAATTAATTTAAATTTTAAAATAAAATATGAATTATTTTAGCTATTATATTTATAATAAAATTTAAGCAGGAATTTCTGTCTACAAATTAAAAAGACTTCCTGTATATTAAATAGCTGTTTAAATAAATTTTAAAATAAAATTTTTTGCCAACATTTAAATTATTCAATGTTTAAATTTTAAATTAAAAATCACGAGGAATTAAGTGTCTGAGACCATCTTTATTATTCAATTTTTCAATTAGTTTTGCTCAAAATCGTCAAATTAGCGGTAAACGGTATAAAATAGATTTTAAAAGAGGAATGGGTGGTTAAACTATTGAACTAAGTCTGGGGTTGAATCCTGAATAGATGAGACTTTTTCTGTTTCTATTAAATAAAATAATTTTGACATTTACAGAATTTAGTTTTTAATAATGTTTTTAGTTTTAAATAAGCTGGCATATTATTAAACATGGAAAAATAATGCAGCAACTTCTGGGTCCTAAAATTTAGATTTTTAGCCCTGAAGCGTTAGGAAATGCTGAAAGAACATTAATATTATCAACGGGTATCCGGGTATCTTCGGATATATATCTTTATTATTTTAAAAATTTGGTAGCGCTTTCCCACTTTTCTATCATTGGCTTTGCGGAGACCTTACTTAGTGTTTTAATTTAGTTTTTTAATTAATTTTTATTTTTTTTTAATTTTAATACTGAGTGAAAAATTTGCAAACAATATAGGTAATTTAGAGATTAACTCGTAATTTGTCTAAAGCTATTTAGAAGGTTTAATCAAATATATTATTTATCCAATACAAAAATTATCTATCAACAGAAAATGTGTCGAAAACATTCAGAAATCTTCAATAAAATTAAATCAATTATTCAACGATTAAATTTTGTAAATTTATAAAATTAAAATTGAAATCTTTACAAAAATTAATCTAACTTTATTTAAAGTTTTAGATAGATTTAATTTTTAAAAACTTTAATTAATTTTAATCGACGCCGGAACAGATCCACCGTTTTATGGATTCGCACTTCAGAATTGGAGTTTTTTTCATAATCTTCGGATCAATTCAGAAAGATCAAATTTTATGTAAAAAAGTTAATAGAAATTTTTAAATTTATTTATAAACGATATGCAAGATATTAAATATCTAAATTTTGAAACACAGTAAATGTCCAGAACAGGTGAATAGCGAACTGAACATTTATCATGAAAAAATATATAATAGAAAATTAGATTTCCTTCCCTCTAGAGAACTTTTTTTAATTAAAAAAATTAAATTATTTACTTTAATGATTTAAATAATTGCTAGAACGTGGTAATTTTGTTTTACGTTTTCTAAAAAATATTAATTTTAATAAAAATTTAAAAATAGATTTATTCACAACATTAAATTTAACATCTATATATTCAAACAAATTAAAAATAATATTTAATTTCAAGCAAAATTTAGTTTATTTAACTTCATTGTGGGTACATTAATAAATTGAACATCTTTAGATTTAGTAATTGACCAAGGGTCGTTACCGCCAAAATTTGTAAAAGTAAATGTATTAAAAATACCAGTGTCGAGTAATTTTATTTGTGCTGGTGCTGCATTAATTACTTTAATGTTTTTAAATGTCTAAAAAATAAATATTTTATATTTTAGATAATTAAAATGGTAGCCCGACCGTCCCTAAACGGTTTTTTCCTCAGTATTATCTCCAATCCAAATTTCACTCCCAAAAATATAAACTACCCCGTATCCTTACATATCCAACTAGACTATATAGGGCAGAATATAATATTAATTTATAAATATCTAACAATATTTTTGTTATAAACTGGTTGATAAATATTTCCTCCATCATGTCCTACCACATAAAGAATTTCTCCACTTTTTGTAGGCTTTATATTATCAACACTACAACGAGTAATCGTGATATCTTTAAATTGTGCAGGTATTTTTGCATTTCCAGAAGGATTGGAATCATAATCTAACATAAAAACGAAAGGGTGTCCAGCAGTTGTATCTCCACTAAATTGGCGACCACCAAAAGTAAAATTATTGTAAGAGCCAACACTAAGCATTGCAATGTCACGAGCATAAACATTTTGAGCACCACCACCACATTGTGGAGAACTTTTAAAACGAATGCCATTGTCAGTTAAAAATGCTACATTGTCCTGAAATATCCTCTATATTTTTCAATTTATTAGAAAATGATTAGGTTGGCATGAGGGATAGAAATAAGAAAATTTTTCTTGCGGCGAGTCAAACTGTAACATTATGCTCTTTCGCACCTAGGTGCAAAATGAATATCTTACCTCAACAAGTACATTTATAATTCCATCCCCGGCGCTGCCTCCAAAAGCAGGTGCTCCATGTCCATGTCGGAAATAGTTGTTTTTAATTAGTATACATTGGACGGGAGCCCCCTGTCCAGCATTACTTCCACAACCAGTACCCATTGCAATACAATCATCGCCTGTATCGAAGAAGCTTCCAATTATTTGGATATTTGAACTTCTACCAATGTCTATACCATCACAATTATTTATATTATATGTTTGGAATCTAACACTGATTATTGACTTAAAAATAAATAAAATTCTTTCATAATTTTATAAAAATTAATTTAATAAACTTACAACATTTTTGCTATCCGCAAGCCCTACTGTAGTCATTGAAGGGTTGATAAATGTAATTCCTCCTCCAATATGTAAATTTGTGACAAAATTAAAATTTGCAAGTCTTGATCGAGAATTATAGTTATTCCCATGTGATTGTACTTGATTCGCAGCCAAAATACCTAGGTTATTAACTGTGCTAGGCGAACCCTTTACATATACAGGAATTTGTTTGCCAAGTTCATCTATAGCATTAGAAGCTAATTTCCATCCATTACCATCAACTGATCCCAGGCCAATTACTCGAATATTTGTTAATGATCCGTTCTATTTTAAAATGGAAAACAAATAATAAATTTAAAGAAAAAACTGATAAATTTTTAAAATAAAATAGTGGAAATTTCATTTAAAAAAAATTAGCTATAGAAAATGGCAGAGCCTATACCAGATTAAAATTTGATGAGATTAATCCTGAGAAAATTTCGAAGCTGATTAACATCAAAAATGAAATTCCACCACCGATTAGTGATTTTCAAACATTCATTTTTAGGTAAATTGAATGATTTTATATATTAAAAATTAAAATCCTCACAAGAGCATTCAAAAAAGCCATTGGAGTATTTCCATATTGATTTGGTGTCGCGAAAGGCGACAATTAGAATTTAATCTTTTTAAGTTTATTTTTTCTAAAATTGTTTTTCTGTAAAATTCCAATCTCTATTTTTACCGCACCTGCTGTCTAGGACATTCTTTTATGTTTAAGAATTTTTTTCTATTTCTAACTTTTAAATTAGCTTTCTTTTGTTTTTCTTAAGCGCATCTGCTTAATTTTATTTGTACCAACCGCCATTCACTAAGTTCTATTTTTTGCCCACTTTTGGAATGTTATTTATTTTTAACCTTGTTCACCCGCCTATTTTCCTGGCCTATATAATCTTCCCTCCAAAACCCACATTAGCTTTTCTAATCAGCTCTACTCTGTTCTGTTGGTTCTATTTTCCTTGGTTCACTGACTGGCTGGCTCTTACTTATTGTGGTGGCTTTATTATTGGATCGCTTTTTATTATTGGATTTAATTTAATTTGGAAAATAAACATATTTAATTTGTTTGGAAGTGTTTTGTTTTGAACTAGGCTCTTAGGCTGAAACTTGGAAACTTGGTCCCTAGGCTTTACTATATACTTTTTGGTGCAACGGCCGGGAAACCATCCTGGTCACCGCGTGGAACTTATTGCTCTCTTGGAAATTTTTTGCTCTGGCTAAACCTCTACTGATTGAACAATGTCTGGACGTATCCGACGAGGACTTACCACAGTTCTGGAATCTATACAAGCTTACACGAAGAATGCAACCCAAATTATGAACGAAGATGTGGATGAAACCACTGCTGAAAAATTAGGATTGGAAAAAGCGAATTTGGAATCGGCCATAGCGCTAATTGCTGAATTGGACGATAAATGGGGTAGTTATATAGATGGCCTTGATGCACCACAGAAAATGGCCGAAGAATCTGTGTACATGAGTTTCCCGCACAAAGCTGGTAGATTTGAGGATGGAAAAGAGGTTCTACTTTCTCAAAGGCACTTTTTGGATCAGAATCAATTTGCCCGTGAGGTCCTAAATATGGTTAAGGAAACCATCAAAAGCCTGGAACGTTCTCGAACCAATTCTCGACAGTCTGCACTAAGTGAGAGCAATCATAGCGTGGATTTGAATGACGAAATAAATAATGCTAGAACAAAAAAGTTGGATGCTAGGATGAATAATGCTGGAATAGAGAATCTGAATGCTAGAATAAATCGACTGGAAATAAATAATGCAGGGAGGAATAATGCAGGGACGTCTGGATACCACGCGCCTCAACCACGAGTTAACCTTCCGCTACTTCAATTGCCGCATTTTTCTGGTGACGCAAAAGAATGGCCAACCTTTTGGCAAATGTTTTCGTCTACGATCGATAACGAACCAAGCTATGATAATGTGTTGAAGATGAGCTACCTGCTTTCTCTCTTGGATGGACCAGTTCTGAACGTGGTAGCCGGTTACCTGCCTACAAACGAAAATTACCCTCGTGTGGTGGAGCTATTAAAATCTCGATATGGGGACTCAAGAGCACTGAAGGAAGCGTTGCAATCTGAACTGTACCACCTCGCGCCAGCACATGACTCCGTAATCGGACTTAGGAAATTTCTGGATGTAGTTGAGCGTGTCTGTCGTCAACTCAGTGATTATGGGATCCAAGACGACTCATGGATTATCTTTGCTCTGAAGGAAAAGCTACCCAGAGGGATACTAGCTAAATTGATTGAAAAGGAGAAAATGGCAGGAAAAACTTGGAAGATTGAAAATTGGAGATCAGAGCTTAACTTGCTCATATCAGTAGAAGAGGAAGTGCAAAGATGTACCGTTAATAATGAGCCAGAAAGACCGCCGCGAAGAGATGGACGACCATTTTATCAGCCAGAGCCTACTCGTTCGTTTCCAGTTGCTAGCCAATATAAACCGCTCTGTTGCTCTTTGTGCCAAGAAGGAGGCCACTTCCCAAGCGAATGTACTAAGTATGGAAATACACAAGCAAGAAGGGACCGCTTATTGGAACAGAACCGTTGCTTGAACTGTCTAAGAGATGGCCACCGAGCTATTGACTGCCCGAACCACCGTCGCTGTAGTAAATGCCAGGGACATCATCACTTTTTGGTATGCTTTTTGCGTGATGTCAGGAATCAAACTCAACCCAACTTTGGTGGATTTGCGCATAGAACTTCCTTTCAGCCTAGTCGTTTTGAACCTGTTGCTAAACAAAGACAATCTGCTCAGTCAATATGGGAAAGAAGGGACGAACCGCACTCTATTGATCATGGGACAAGATGTGATGCCAAATTGCCAGCGCCTAAAGAGAACTCTGTGGTTGCTACCGTTATGAATGCTAATAAGCCCACTGCCTACCTGATGACAAAGAGATTGATGGTTACTGCCAGAGGACGTAAAGAAAGAATCCCTGTTTATGTATTTTTTGACACTGGAAGCCAGACCAGCTTTGTTTCTCGCCGACTAGTGGAAAAACTCAACCCGCCTAGAGGCCGCGAAATTGACCTATTGGAGATTCATGGATTTGGAGGAGCTTTGTCTAACCCGCTGAAAATCCGATCACCCACGTATATGGTTAAGATACAAAGAACCGATGGGAACTGGGAAGAAATTTCGTTAAATTGTACCGAAGAAATTGCCACTCCCTTTGACATGATAAGTTTTGACGAATACTTCTATAACCGTACTGGAGTCGATAGCCTGGAAGTTGTGCGAGAAAAACCAGATATTATGATTGGAATCAAACAATTTTGGAAATTCTTTGTGTCAAAAGGGAAAGAAATATTGCCTGGTCTTCACTCTATCCGAACTGTTTTTGGCACGATGACAGCTGGCGAAACCAACTTTGGATATAATTCTAATGAAGCGTCTATGTCTTTGGTGGCAGTACATTCGAGCAATGAGAAACATCTTCCAACCCCTAATGCTGTAGAGGCTATGTCTTCACCCACCGTTGGTGAAGTTGTTCTCGTGGAGGAAAACTTTTGGCCTATTGGGAAAGTGGCTGAGCATAATGTTTGTGGACCCATTTTGCAAAGTTCTCAAATAAAAATGGCTAATGGAAGAATTGTCACCCGGCCAGTGAGCAGACTTTACCCCCTCGAGGTAAAGCAAATGGAGGAGGAAATAAATGAAAGAGAGATAGAAAGTAATGAGAATATGAATGGAACTTTGGTGCTCGAATTGGACATCAAAAAAGATGAAAATCCCTCTCAAAACAAACCAAAAGTGGAAAAACAAGCTGTAAAACCGCATCCTATGGTCACGAGGGCTAAAGCTAAACTGGCAGCAAGTACATTGATGGCACTCTGTCTTTGTATACTGGCGGGATTAATGGTCTTTGGTCCACTTGGAAACCAAAAAATGGAAAAGTTATCATACGAATTACCCACTGAGAGGCTTTTTACTGACTATCACTGGGTGGCCAAATTTTGGAAAAACTCGCGAGAAATGTTTTCGACAGAGATGAAGTATCCGGCTTTAAATGAATGCTTATTACTGGACTCCACATTTGGAATCGACTTGATAGTGAACCCTTCGTGCTATCCTAGCCTTGCTGTTCTTTGGGCACTTGTTACTCTGACCATGCTTACAGGACTCTGTTCTGTGCTTACTCTTTGCCGATCTTATCGTAAAAACTTTCGAATGATTGTGGCTATTGGAAGGATGGGATGTCAATGCTGGAGACGGACGAAAAGAAAGACTGCTTATACGAGGGCACGCACCAGAGAAACAATCCGAAATAAAACAAAAAGCTCAATACATAACCGTTTCGGAAACTGCTGCCATAGAGGACAAACTGGAATTCAATGCGTCTTCAATCAAGCTGCTACACTCACTTTATGGCACGCGGGACAATCTGATGCTATGATGATCCGAGATGACAGAAAGAAACAAGTGAAGAAAAGAAAAACCATTGGGGGCCCGGGAATGTCGCGAAAGGCGACAATTAGAATTTAATCTTTTTAAGTTTATTTTTTCTAAAATTGTTTTTCTGTAAAATTCCAATCTCTATTTTTACCGCACCTGCTGTCTAGGACATTCTTTTATGTTTAAGAATTTTTTTCTATTTCTAACTTTTAAATTAGCTTTCTTTTGTTTTTCTTAAGCGCATCTGCTTAATTTTATTTGTACCAACCGCCATTCACTAAGTTCTATTTTTTGCCCACTTTTGGAATGTTATTTATTTTTAACCTTGTTCACCCGCCTATTTTCCTGGCCTATATAATCTTCCCTCCAAAACCCACATTAGCTTTTCTAATCAGCTCTACTCTGTTCTGTTGGTTCTATTTTCCTTGGTTCACTGACTGGCTGGCTCTTACTTATTGTGGTGGCTTTATTATTGGATCGCTTTTTATTATTGGATTTAATTTAATTTGGAAAATAAACATATTTAATTTGTTTGGAAGTGTTTTGTTTTGAACTAGGCTCTTAGGCTGAAACTTGGAAACTTGGTCCCTAGGCTTTACTATATTTGGAAATTTAGAAGGATTAGAAGTTGCACGTAAAATAGCCCCATTGGCCAATTCAAAAGTCATTTGTGAACGTAAAAATAAAGGCCCGCTTAGAAAAGTTCCTTTTGGAATTGAAACTTTACATCCAAAAGCTGAAGTTGAGGTTGAACATGAATCTATAGCTTTTTGTATTGCTTGTGTATTTAATGTAGTTCCATCTCCTTTCGCCCCGACTGTTGTTATATCGACAATCTGTTTTGAAAAGGGAATTAATTATTGATGAATGCAATGAAAAATGTGGAGGACTTCGAAACTCGAAGTCTATCAGGGGAATGATTTATCGCTTAAAATTATGTGGCCATTTTTGTGATTTTTTGCCATTTACGTGATTTTCCATACGGTAAATGTCCAGCTCGTGTCCCGCATGTCCGCAAAAGGCATTCTGCAAAAATTATTTTTTCTGCCTTCCTTCTCTCTACCATAATTCTCCTCGCGTAGTTAAATGATGGGTTGACAGTTTGGCGCAGATAATAAAGGATGCAGAATGCCTTTTGCGGACATGCGGGACACGAGCTGGACATTTACCTTTCCATACTTTAATATTCGCTATATAATTTAGAGCTTTCAACACTAACAACCTTTCCATAATTTTCAGCAGTTTTAACAACAACTTGATTACTATTTCCAGATTCAGCACCATTTGCATCTACAGCCCTAACAGTAAATGTGTATATTGTGTTTGGATTAAGTCCAGTAACTAAATATGTTGTAAAAAGTATTTTTGTATGGAAATTGTTTAAATCATTTTTATAAAAATTTTGAATATAAGGGCCAGACAAAGTATTTACAGCTGAATTTGCTTTAGCACTTCCAATTTTCTATAAAAATTTTTTAAAATTAATTGAATATAATATTTATCTCATAACAAATTTTATTAATTGCTGATTTTACAACAACAAAGCACTATCTCAAATTGGAGAAAAAATACAAGTTTTATATTAGAATTTTCATGCTAAGAGTTTTCAAATTTTTTAAGGTTAATTATTGTTGTGTATAGACAACATTAATGGAGAAAAATCGTTTGGAACGTAGTCAGGGACAAACTCTAATTGTAATGTATTACCTTTCCACCCATATAAACATTAAAATCAGCAATATTTTCATAATTATCAGGTTTATTCCAAGTTAGCCAAACACTTTTTTGATCATAAGCTAAGGGAGGAACACATAATTGTTGTGGTATATTTGAATTTGTACCAAAATTTGGGTTAACATTTGAACAAGAACATGGGGGTGTTATTGCTATAAATAAATATTTTAAAAAAGTTAAAGTTCAAAAAATACCTTGACTCGAAGCAAAATTTGTAGTTTCCAAAAAAATTATTTTAATTAAAATTATTCTTTTTAATATTGCTGATAGAATATAATATTTCATTTTTTAAATAATTAATTTAAATTTTAAAATAAAATATGAATTATTTTAGCTATTATATTTATAATAAAATTTAAGCAGGAATTTCTGTCTACAAATTAAAAAGACTTCCTGTATATTAAATAGCTGTTTAAATAAATTTTAAAATAAAATTTTTTGCCAACATTTAAATTATTCAATGTTTAAATTTTTAAATTAAAAATCACGAGGAATTAAGTGTCTGAGACCATCTTTATTATTCAATTTTTAAATTTGGTTTGCTCAAAATCGGCAAATTAGCGGTAAACGGTATAAAATAGATTTTAAAAGAGGAATGGGTGGTTAAACAATTGAACTAAGTCTGGGGTTGAATCCTGAATATACGAGACTTTTTCTGTTTTTATTAAATAAAATAATTTTAAACATTTACAGAATTTAGTTTTTAAGAATGTTTTTAGTTTTAAATAAGCTGGCATATTATTAAACATGGAAAAATAATGCAGCAACTTCTGGGTCCTAAAATTTAGATTTTTAGCCCTGAAGCGTTAGGAAATGCTGAAAGAACATTAATATTATCAACGGGTATCCGGGTATCTTCGGATATATATCTTTATTATTTTAAAAATTTGGTAACGCTTTCCCACTTTTCTATCATTGGCTTTGCGGAGACCTTACTTAGTGTTTTAATTTAGTTTTTTAATTAATTTTTATTTTTTTTTAATTTTAATACTGAGTGAAAAATTTGCAAACAATATAGGTAATTTAGAGATTAACTCGTAATTTGTCTAAAGCTATTTAGAAGGTTTAATCAAATATATTATTTATCCAATACAAAAATTATCTATCAACAGAAAATGTGTCGAAAACATTCAGAAATCTTCAATAAAATTAAATCAATTATTCAACGATTAAATTTTGTAAATTTATAAAATTAAAATTGAAATCTTTACAAAAATTAATCTAACTTTATTTAAAGTTTTAGATAGATTTAATTTTTAAAAAATTTAATTAATTTTAATCGACGCCGGAACAGATCCACCGTTTTATGGATTCGCACTTCAGAATTGGAGTTTTTTCATAATTTTCGGATCAATTCAGAAAGATCAAATTTTATGTAAAAAAAGTTAATAGAAATTTTTAAATTTATTTATAAACGATATGCAAGATATTAAATATCTAAATTTTGAAACACAGTAAATGTCCAGAACAGGTGAATAGCGAACTGAACATTTATCATGAAAAAATATATAATAGAAAATTAGATTTCCTTCCCTCTAGAGAACTTTTTTTAATTAAAAAAATTAAATTATTTACTTTAATGATTTAAATAATTGCTAGAACGTGGTAATTTTGTTTTACGTTTTCTAAAAAATATTAATTTTAATAAAAATTTAAAAATAGATTTATTCACAACATTAAATTTAACATCTATATATTCAAACAAATTAAAAATAATATTTAATTTCAAGCAAAATTCAGTTTATTTAACTTCATTGTGGGTACATTAATAAATTGAACATCTTTAGATTTAGTAATTGACCAAGGGTCGTTAATGCTGCCAAAATTTGTAAAATCAAATGTATTAAAAATACCAGTGTCGAGTAATTTTATTTGTGCGGGTGCTGCATTAATTACTTTAATGTTTTTAAATGTCTAAAAAATAAATATTTCATAATTTAGATAATTAAAATTGTAGCCCGACCATCCGTCCCTAAACGGGGTTTTTCTCGTATTATCTCCAATCCAAACCCCACTCCCAAAAATATAAACTACCCCGTATCCTTACATATCCAACCAGACTATATAGGGCAGAATATGCTATTAATTTATAAATATCTAACAATATTTTTGTTATAAACTGGTTGATAAATATTTCCTCCATCATGTCCTACTACATAAAGAATTTCTCCACTTTTTGTAGGCTTTATATTATCAACACTACAACGAGTAATTGTGATATCTTTAAATTGTGCAGGTATTTTTGCATTTCCAGACGGATTGGAATCATAATCTAACATAAAAACGAAAGGGTGCCCAGCAGTTGTATCTCCACTAAATTGGCGACCACCAAAAGTAAAATTATTGTAAGAGCCAACACTGAGCATTGCAATGTCACGAGCATAAACATTTTGAGCACCACCACCACATTGTGGAGAACTTTTAAAACGAATGCCATTGTCAGTTAAAAAGGCGACATTTATTTTATTTATTTATTTATTTATTTATTTATCAGCAAACCACAGGTATTTTAAAATACATTAATGTGGTGCAAAAAAAAAAACATAAAAAATAAATTAATGTCAAAAAAAAAATATATATATGTAGGAAACAACATCAAAAATAAAAATAACTTTAAAAATGAACAATAAAAATAAATGAATTTAATATTACACATAAAAAAAAACACAATAACGCTCAAGGTTAATTTTTCCAAAAATTTTATTTAGATTGTGATAATTTAATAAAACTTCTAAATTTTTTGGGATCATTTATTTTAAATGATTCATTTGGAAGATTATTCCATTTATTTACCACCCTATGAAAAAAATTATTTTTTGTTCTGTTCGTGTGTTTTTTAATCCTTAGAAGTAGAGGCCTGCGAAGTGATCTATTTGAAAAATTAAAATAATTTTGGGAATTAAGAGATGTAAACCCTTTTATAATTTTAAAAGCAGTGGAAAGATCGGCAATCTTTCTTCTATCTATTAACTTTTCAAGTTTGCAAGTATTTAATCTTTCTTCATATGGGACCTTGATTAATCCACATTTTTTGTAAATATTCTTAGTGAATAGTTTTTGAATTCTTTCGATTTTATCTATTTGATATTTCATGTGTGGATTCCACACTTCAGTTGCATATTCTAGCTGGGGTCTTATATAAGTTTTATAAATATTAACAAGAAGATTTAAGTCTCTAGACTTAATGATTCTTGTTATTTGGAAACTTTTTAGATATGCATTTTTTATAACCATATTTATATGGTTATTAAAAGATATTTTAGAATCAATTAAAACTCCAAGATCGCGAATGCATTCTGTTTCTTGTATTTTTAATCCATGAATGTTATACTCTCTTTTCAGGTTATTTTTCCCTAGATATAAGGCAAAGCACTTATGAGGAGATATTTCTAAACCATTTAACTCTGTCCATTTTTCAAGTTTCCATAAAGCTTTATTAAGTTCATCCCTTTCTATGCCATTTCTATGAGCTACATATAGTTTTACGTCGTCTGCATATAATTTTATTCCAATGTTTTCAGGGATTTGATTCGGAAGATCATTTATAAAAATAAGAAATAGAAGAGGTCCTAAGACACTACCTTGAGGTACACCTGAGAATGTTTCATATTCGCAAGATATTTGGTCACCAATCTTAATCTTGAAATTTCTATCAGATAGAAAATTTTTAAGAAATGTATAGACTTTTCCACTAATGCCTGCTTTTACTATCTTATCTAGAAGAATATTTATCGGTACAGTGTCAAATGCCTTAGCAAAGTCAATGTATATGATATCTATACTATATCCATCTTGTATTGCATTATATAGATCATTCATTGTGGATAATAACTGTGTTGTTGTGGATCTTGATTTAAGAAACCCAAACTGATTTTGATTAAAGAACTTATTATCTTCTAAGTATTTTACTAATTGTTTTGCGATAATTCTTTCTAAAATCCTACACAGGGTGCATGTTAACGATATTGGACGATAATTGTTTGGATCTGATTTTTCCCCTTTTTTATATAGAGGTATAATAAGTGACGATTTCCAAATTGATGGAATTTGCCCATTATCAATAATAATTCTAAAGGTATCTGTGATTATTTTTGCAAGTGAGTCAGCGCAATATTTAAGTAATATATAAGGTATATTGTCTGGAGAAGTAGAATTTTTACTAGGAAGTGATCTGAGGGTATCCCACACAATACTAGTACTTAAATCTATGTCTGTAAACTTTGATTCTGGAATTATATTTCCATCGCTATCTGAGAGATTAATGCTTCTTTTTTGAAAATTCTTTTGAAACCCTTTTCCCAAAATATTACATTTTTCTTCATCGCTGAAGTAAAATTTGTTTTCTTTATCAATTAGACAGGGAATATTATTATCTTGCGTAAGTCTGTTTCTAATATACTTATGTATCGAATTTCCACCTTTATTGATTATTTTTTCTTCATTTGTGTTATGATGAATTTTTAATTGCTTTTTTAGGTTTCTTGAGACGATTTTATACTTAACTCTTAAATTGTTATCATATATTCTTTCTTTAAGTAACCTAAATAATATAAGCTTTTCTTTGTGTAATTCCTTAATTCTTTGAGGGTATGCTTTTCTTATTATCTTATTTAGTGCTCTCATTGGTATATATTTGTTATAAAGACATAGAAGTTCTTTTGTTAAATAAATGTATTTATCTTCCACTGTGAATTTCGTTGATATACCTAGATCTAAATTATTTCGAAATATGACTTGATTTAGATTAATAAAATTGGATTTACTAAAATCTCTTACGTAACTCTTGGGCTTCCTAATTACTTTAACACGATAATTAAGCTCAAACTCTATCATTTTGTGATCGGAAGTTGAAAAATTCTCCCTAACTTTAATAGTTCTAACAATACCGGAATCAGATGTAAGTACTAGGTCCAGGATTGAATTTTCCCTAGTTGGTTCAGTAACAAGTTGTTTTAATTGATTCTGACCTATAAACTCTATGAAAATATTCGCGATCTTGTCATAATTGTCAATTATTTCGTTAGAATACCAGTTTATGTGTCTAATGTTAAAATCTCCACATAATATAGTTTTTTGGTTGATTTGATTTAAAAGGAATTTAAATAACTTTTTTGTATTAAGAATTGAACTATTTGGTGGTCGGTAAATGTTTATAATGTTAATTTCTTTTTCAAGCAATAATTTTATATGTACAATCTCTGATTGGAATTTAGAGCCAGAGAAAATTATTTTAAAAGGTATGTTATTTTTTACTAGGATTGCCGATCCTCCGCCTCTTTTTTCTATTCTATTAGCTAATATGACTTCATAATTACCCATATGTGATAGTTCAGAATTTATTATATTATCTGTTTTGAGCCACGTTTCGTTGATTAATATCAGCTCTGGGTTAGAATTTTCAATCAAATAATTTAAATCTGGTATTTTATTGACCGAGAATTGAATAATATACATTTATATGAGTAAATATTTCCGTTTGTTATTTTTGTTTGTGGTTTGCCTGCGTACCCCTATTTATTTTTAGTTGCCCTGAGCGGTTGTGGTTTTTTAAGTGTAATGATTGACAGATCGACAACAATGTACTTAAACATGTTCTCGACCTGATTCATAGAAAATGCTTGCTTACGCAAGTTATACAAAATATTTAATTCGTTTCGAGTCATATCACGTCTAGCAGTTAAAAACTGCGGTAAAGATGGATTTTGCTTAAGACATTTACGAAAATTATAAAGAAAAATATCCCTAGATTTTTTATTGTTAAATGGGATTTTGACAATTCTTGGTTTCTTATTTACAACATTTGATAACTCACGAGATGGATGTCGATGTATGTCATTTTCCAAAAGATCAGAAGATACTCCGCAATCTGAAGCAATTTTTTTAACTAAAGAAGTGATGTCAACATTTTCAGGAGCCCGTTCAATAACAACTCTTTTTGATTTAGACTTGATTTCTTCGGCGTCCAAAATAGCGTTGTTTATGATATTGGTCAAATGAGATTGTTCTAAAGAATTATGTTGTTTGTTGCTAGCGGAAAAAGGGTCTCCAAATCGATATTTAGTTTCTGTTGTTTGTTGTTCTGGTTCATTTGTAAGAATATCCTTACAAAGTTCCATTACAGAATTTACAATTTCAAGCATTGCTGAGGCCCAAGGTGGCATGTCGTTAGAAAATTGTTCGGAAAAATTAGAAAGTTTTTTGTTTAATTGATGTAGTTTTAATTTTTTGTTGTTAATATTCGAAGTAGTGAGTGGTGTTGACATTGATGTTAAATTATCGATTTCCATAAGTTTTTTAACTTTTTTCTCAAACTTGGGTAATTAAACCATTGTCCTAAAATATTCTCTATATTTTTTCAATTTATTAGAAAATAATTAGGTTTGAATGAGAGATAGAAATAAGAAGTTCTCTTGCGGCGAGTCAAACTGTAACATTTTTCCCTTTGGTACTCGTAGTTACATACCTAGGTGTAAAATACGAGTAGGAGCAAAATTGAGGTTCCAACACGCTAGTTCCTACTGTAAATGAATATCTTACCTCAACAAGTACATTTATAATTCCATCCCCGGCGCTGCCTCCAAAAGCAGGTGCTCCATGTCCATGTCGGAAATAGTTGTTTTTAATTAGTACACATTGGACGGGAGCCCCTTGTCCAGCATTACTTCCACAACCAGTACCCATTGCAATACAATCATCGCCTGTATCGAAGAAACTTCCAATTATTTGGATATTTGAACTTCTACCAATATCTATACCATCACCGTTATTTATATTATATGTTTGGAATCTAACACTGATTATTGACTTAAAAAATAAATAAAATTCTTCAATAATTTTATAAAAATTAGTTTAATAAACTTACAACATTTTTGCTATCTGCAAGCCCTACTGTAGTCATTGAAGGGTTTATAAATGTAATTCCTCCTCCAATATGTAAATTTGTAACAAAATTAAAATTTGCAAGTCTTGATCGAGAATTATAGTTATTTCCATGTGATTGTACTTGATTCGCGGCCAAAATGCCTAGGTTATTAACTGTGCTAGGCGAACCCTTTACATATACAGGAATTTGTTTGCCAAGTTCATCTATAGCATTAGAAGCTAATTTCCATCCATTACCATCAACTGATCCCAGGCCAATCACTCGAATATTTGTTAATGATCCGTTCTATTTTAAAATGGAAAACAAATAATAAATTTAAAGGAAAGGCTGATAAATTTTTAAAATAAAATAGTGGAAATTTTCCTTTTTCAAAATTAGTTATAGAGAAAGGCAGAGCCTATACCAGATTAAAATTTGATGAGATTAATCCTGAGAAAATTTCGAAGCTGATTAATATCAAAAATAAAATACCACCACCGATTAATAGTTTTCAATATATTTTAAGGTAAATTGAATGATTTTAAATATTAAAAAAATAAAATCCTCACAAGAGCATTCAAAAAAGCAATAGGAGTATTTCCATATTGATTTGGAAATTTAGAAGGATCAGAAGTTGCACGTAAAATAGCCCCATTAGCCAATTCAAAAGTCATTTGTGAACGTAAAAATAAAGGCCCGCTTAGAAAAATTCCTTTTGGAATTAAAACTTTACATCCAAAAGCTGAAGTTGAGGTGGAGCAAGAATCTATAGCTTTTTGAATTGTTTGTGTATTTAATGTGGTTCCATCTCCTTTCGCCCCGACTGTTGTTATATCGACAATCTGTTTTGAAAAGAATTTAATTATTAATGAATGTAAGGATAAAATGTAAAGGACTTCGAAACTCGGGGTTTATCAGGGGAACGGTTTCTCTCTTAAAATTTTAGTGCTTTTTGTGATTTTCCATATTTTAATATTCGCTATATAATTTAGAGTTTTTAATAGTGTTATTCAAACGCGTTTTTTCGGTATCGGTATCGGTATTTTCGGTAAAATACCGATTTTTTAAAAATTGTTCGGTAGCGTATTCGGTATCGGTATTTCTGTAAAAATACCGCGGTATTACCGAAATATACCGCGGTAATACGGTACCGTGAATAACACTAGTTTTCAACACTAATAACCTTTCCATAATTTTCAGCAGTTTTAACAACAACTTGATTACTATTTCCAGATTCAGCCCCATTTGAATCTACAGCTCTAACAGTAAATGTGTATATTGTGTTTGGATTAAGTCCAGTAACTAAATATGTTGTAAAAAGTATTTTTGTATGGAAATTGTTTAAATCATTTTTATAAAAATTTTGAATATAAGGGCCAGACAAAGTATTTACAGCTGAATTTGCTTTGGCACTTCCAATTTTCTATGAAAATATTTCATAATTAATTGAATATATTACATGAAAAAGGTGTTTTTATTATAATGTTCTGATGTTATTTTCCTCCTCACCTATTCCTTGATATTAGATTCCAGTTATTTTCGATTCCGGTTATCCGGAAATTTTCGATTCGGTTCCTGATAAAAAGAACCAAAAAAATTCCTGGAACCGCCAATCCATATAAGTGTATCGTTGTCAAGTTCTTTTAGTTTATTTTCAGACTTATTCTATTTTAGACTTAATATCGCGCTATGGTTTTCAATTATTTGTGATATTTATTTACCTTTCCACCCATATAAACATTAAAATCAGCAATATTTTCATAATTATCAGGTTTATTCCAAGTTAGCCAAACACTTTTTTGATCATAGGCTAATGGAGGAACACATAATTGTTGTGGTATATTTGAATTTGTACCAAAATTTGGTTTAACATTTGAACACGAACATGGTGGTGTTATTGCTATAAATAAATAAATATTTTAAAAAAAAAAGTTCAATAAATACTTTGACTCAGAGCAAAATTTCTAGTTTCGAAAAAAATTATTTTAATTAAAATTATTCTTTTTAATATTGTTGCTAGGATATAATATTTCATTCTTTGAATAATTTAATTATTTTTATTTTGATATTATTGCTATAAATAATTATTTAATTATATATATAAAAAATTGAAAATAATTATCAAAATTAGTTAGTTTAAATTAAATTTAAATAAAAACTTTTTGAACGATTTTTTTCTTTTTTTTTGTCAAAAAATATTCAGCTAGAGTTTATTATTAAATTAATTTAAATTATATAAAATTTTATTTAAATTAAAATAAACTTTCTTTTATATTAAAAATAAAAACCGACAAAAATCTTTTATCAAATTACTTCCTTTTTAGCTGTTTAAATAAATTTATTTAAAATTTTAACATTTTTTAAACTTTTAAATTAAATTATTAAATGTCTGAATTTTGCCAACAGGTAAATTTTAAAAAATTTAAGAATTAACGGAAATAAATTTAAACATCATATGGTTTTTAAAGCTTTTTTTAATACTGATTAAATATTAAAAAATTCATTAAAAATCTAAAACTAAATATTTTTTAAAATATCAAATAAATTAAATATTTAATTTTTAATTTTTTATTAAATAAAATAATTAATCCAATAAAATATTCAAAATATTTTTGACAAAAAATCTTACAAATTATGACTCACATAAAAAGATTATTATTATTAGTGCATAAATAAATTCATGCAAAAAATTCCAGTGCAGTGTCAGCCACAACATTAACCTAAAAAGTTTAAAAATTAAAAATTTTTATTTAAATTTTTTTATACATAGTAATTCTTTTAAAATTTTCTGATTTATAAAAAATTAAAATTAATTTATTTAGTTATTTTTTTAGTTAAAAATGTAGAAAAATCAGTCATCCAGATTTGGGGCACATGGTAACATTTAATGCCTAATTCTTATAGTTAACACGTGTGCATCAAACCAGAATAACCAAAATTTCTGATTTTCTAAGAAAATTATAGAATTCTAGAGTTAATAATTTTTCTTAAAATTCTTTTAAATTAAATTATCTAGAAATATTTATATTTAATTTTTAAATAAAAATAATTAAAAATGTATTTTAAAAATATAATAGAAATTAATTTTTATTAATATAAAATTAAAATTAATTTTAAAGACTAATAAACAATTTAAATAATAAGTAGGTGTTAATAAAATATTATTTTTTGTTATTTTAAATGATCAACTTTACTTTATTTTAATGGAAATATTTTATTTAAATATAAATAAATGCTTTTAATAAACTTCCTGCATTTTTTTACAATTTTTATTTCTCGATCATCTTTTCCCTTTTTTAATAATTCAAGAATTTCTAGAAAAAAACAAAAATTAACTGATCAGATTTAAAGATAAAAACTAAAAGAATTAAAAAAAGGAATTTTAAAAGCTTTTTTAAATAAAAAAATATTTTAAAATATATTTTTTGTTTAAAGTTCAATATTAAAATAATAAAAAAAATCTAAAATTTAAATTAACAAATACCGTATATACTCTATTAATTACCCTAGGTAACTATTGTTTCGATCTCTCTATGGAGAGGGTAATTGATAGTGGCGGGGCAATTAATAGAGGTTATTTTAGGAGGTCTAATTATTACTATTTTTAAAGGGGTAATTATTGTTTGAACTTTTTGCTGGAGGGGGTAACTAATAAAGGCGAGGTAATTATTTGAGGGAGGGTATAATGTTTTAAGGCTAACATCAATTCAATTCCTAGAAAAAAAAAATTAATTAAAATTAAAAAAATATTTTTAAACTTTATTTATTCATTTATATAGATCACATATATATTTAGGTATTTATGAAATTTAAAAATAACAAAAAAAAGTTTTTTACTCGGGATCATATATCAGGAATGAAATTTAAAAAAAAAAGCAAATTGTCAAAAAAATATACTTATAAAAAAATTAAACTTAAATAAATGGCTAATTTCATTCCTTATTTTTCTATTTAAAATTAATTTTCTGGGGTTCTTTTCTTAATTTTCTTTTAAATAAATTCAATAAAAATGAAGATCTGCGGCAATACAATTTCCATTTGTTGATCCATATCTACAAAAAAAATATATTTTAAAATAAAAAAATTTATTTTTGGTCAACCTAGAAATATTTTGGAAAGGACCACAACAATTAGTAGCACTTAAAGACGAAACAAACGACGAGGAATTAGCCAAAATACTTTCATTATTAAAATTATTATTTAAATTTTTATCAACAAATAAATGGCTAAGATAACAGGGAGGGGTAAATGCTGTGCTCATTAAAGAAATTAAAGCAGAAATTGTTGCTATTATGCCGGCTAATGAAGATAAAACTGAAAAATAAATTTTTTTGAGAATTTAAAAAACTCCTTCTTAGTCTCTCACCAATAACAAATCCACAAATAAATAACATTCGTCTATCTGTACGTTGAATCATTCTAAATGAAGTTTAGATTAAAATATAAATTTTCTAAAAAATTACTCAGATAAAGTTGGCGGTTTTTCATTCCCAAAATGTGCTGATTCATTCGCTTTTTTCTCACCGGCCGCCAAGAAAAGATAAAAAAGACAGGGGAAAATAACAGAAGTTAATGCTACTGTTGAACCACCAAAAAAGTCAAGTACAGGTCCAAAACTTGGAACTGATTCGGCTACAAAGACTATTGAAGCCATTACTCCCGTTCTAACAATAACTCTTTTCCAACAAAATTCTTAAAAATTTATAAGGATTTTTGGAATATACATATGTATAATATAAATTAGTATCTAACCATGAGGGACATCAAAAAGTTCCTCCACTTCTTGATTTAATGGATTAATAATTAAAGTTACTGTTAAAAGACCTGAAAAATTAAAAACAATTAAATTTAAAAAATATAAAAAATATTAACAATGTGCAGTTATCATTAAATTAACTGCCTGTTGAATCCAAACTGTTTGTATTGAGTTAATAACAGAATCTCTTAAACTATTTCCATAAACTAAACCGGTAAGGGAAACAACACCAAAATTAAAAAATGACATTACTAAAAATTAAAAATAATTTTATTTTTTTCAACTAAAAAAACAAACAAATAAATCCAAAAATTGCAGAACGATCAAAATGTGAAGGTCTTTTCATGTCATGTTGAATTGTTGGAAATGCTGAATGTCCCCCATAAGTAAATAACATTGTTCCCAAAGCAACGAGGTAATTAGATAATGAAAATTGAGGAAATTCTCGAACAGGAGAACAAGAACCGATATCCAGAAAAGCACCCAAACAAATCAAAACAACTTTTTTAAAAGAACAATTTTAATGCATAAAAAATTCCTAAAAATACTTGCAATTCCTGTACTTAACATTCCCCCAACAATAACTGGCCAGAAATCATTTGGTGATTTAAGTAATGTAACAGGTAATAAAACTAAAGCAACTACCAAAACTAATAAACACGAACTTATATCAACATGGAAAAATGCTCGGAGAAAATCACGAATATTTTTAGCACTCAACAGTAAAAATACCTTTTAAACAAAAATTTATTTTTAAAATAAATTATCAAAAATTAGAAGTTTATTTTTAATTATCTAGAGAGCTGAGAAGAATTTTCTTGGAGGTTTTGAGATAACTTTCTAAATCAAAATTTTTTTGTAGATTTTATTTTATCCCATATCTCTCCCGAGAAATGAATTAATTTTTTTTAAACAATTTTCTAAATTAATTTTTATACTTACAGTTGAAGCTCCAAATTGTGTAATATTAACACAAGTAGAAACAATTGTTCTTAATTTTTCTTTATTTTTAACAAAGTTAAATTTATTTATACTTCATTAAAGGCCCAAGTGCCCTATAACCAATTTCTGCATAAGGTTTTCGACAATGTGTCCTATAATCGGGAAATCTCCTCACTAATATTTCCCAACAATTGCCTAGCATAACAGCCGAGAAAGTTGAGATTAAAGCCATTACAGCAAGTAAAATAAGTCCGGGGAAAAATTCTGAATTAAAATTTTTTTAAATTTATTTTAAGAGATCTTTACGGCATCTAACAACAGCTGTAGGTAAAGCAACAATTCCCCCTCCAGCCATATCCGCAACTACAAAAAATGCCGCTAATAACCACCCCAAACCTCCTCCTTTCCTCAATTTTCCATCTTTTCCTTCAAAATAATCACCCATCTTTCCACCAATCGGTACAACTTTGTGACCATCTGCGGTTAGAATACTGACTCTATTTCTGTTTAAAAATTATATTATTAAATTATTATTTCTAAATAAATATTATTATTTTTTCCTTTCATTCCATTTATTTAGTTAGTCGTTTAATTATAACTATAAATATTATTTATACTAATAAATAAATTATTAGGGCAGAAATATTGGCCAGAATTTGGTAAAAAAATAAAAATATTTAAAATAATTAGACTCTTTATAATAAAAAAATATTCACTCAAAAAGAGGATTAATTCACAAAGGAGTTAAATCGCTGAGTGTTTCTCTTAAATTATTCTTTAAAATACCTATTTATTTTTTCATAATTAAATTAAACAAAATTGATTTTTAAATAAATTTAAAAATATTTTTAAATTACCCTAGAACGGTCATTTCCATCGTCCAATGATTAATATTATTTTTATTTGAGATTTTGTTGTTATTATTATTTTTGCTAATTTTTAATTTGTGTTTTGTTTAGAGTATTTAGTTGTTATTAATGAGAGAAGATATTTAAATAGTTTATTTTACAAAAACATAAGTTAAATATATAATTAAATAAATTCTAAATAGAATTTAGATTTTTAAAGCCTTAGAAATAAAAAATAAAAATTATTCAAAAACCTAAAATTAGATGAATAATATAAAGTAAATATAAAGCTCTAAATCGGCAAATATCCGCCCCTAATTTTCAAAAATATTTATTAAATTTGAATGTACTAAAGAAATAGTAATCCAAGAAGGCCTCTAAAGTATTTGAAAATTGTGCATAAAATATATAGATTAATTAATTTTTTAGTAATTTTTGGAAATAATTTAAATAATATATTGAAAAAAATTAAAAAAATAGATTGGAAAA